GATGAAATCCAAATAGAAGCAAGACGTGCATTGGGGTAGAGGACAATACGAGCTTTCAAACGACTCTCTAGTACGCCAATGCCAAATATGCAAGCGACTTTTCATTTTTGAAGATGATTCATGACTAGAGCGCTTCATGTGAAATAAGTCCTGTAGTATACGCTTTCGTTTTCTTATTGCTTCGCAAGAGAAAAAATTCCAAATTGATTAAAAGACATTAACTAACGATGACCAAGAATTGACTTGACAATCAAATATATCAAACAATGAAGCCGGAAACATATAGCATAACGCCTGGGTAACCCTCCACTTAGCCTCTTGGTACTCCGCCTCAATAGCCCCAGGAACATATAAGGGATTTGATTTACGCAGAATATAGCCAGGATGGAGAAGTTCTGAGGTAGCGATGACTGAAATGGCTGGGAAAATAACTATGGGTGTGCCTAATCTGTCAGTTCCTGATACCCCCGGCATTGAGACTCCCTTATCAATCTCAAACGCCGGTGAGTCTAAGCTCGCCTTGCCATGAGTCAGTCCGACAATTTGCTGAGGACTTCTTTTTACCGCTCTCCATATATCAAAATCGTCTCGAAGTAACGGACGTAACCCCATCTCAAAACATCTTACATCATTGAGAAGCAGGCGCAGCTTGGAAGCGATACGGTCGGAAATACCAGCTGATTTTTGTTTCCTCTAGCTCCGGCTTATAGTGGGAGTATATAATTGACGACAGTGCTCTCATGACAGCCTCTTGCAAAGGTTGGCTTTTTGCCATCGTGTCCCAGTCCGGCTTTGGCGATATCGGATTGAGCCAAATGGTGTAACTTGGCATGGTTACGAAGACATAAGTTACTAATTCCTTTGTGATAAGAGCTTCCAAAGTTGCGACGTGGAGATGTTTTAAGGCTGTGCTATCTGAAATAGGTATTGGTCTCTCATGACTCATGAATTCTGAGCTAATAAGCCGTCTAAAGGTTTTGTCCTTAGCCGAAGTCAGCATAACGCTTCATTGATAGTCAGCAGAGACTATATACCTGGTTCCTATCTAGATTTTTGTCATCAGAGCTATCCAGAAATGCCGATTTCGTAACCGAGTGCAGTTCCATAGCGAGTCTATCGAGTCTATCCGAGCTTCATAATAGGTAAGTGATAATTTAAAGAGGGATTTCTTGGCTGACTTATAAGTGATCATCTAGTTCCATAAGACCAAGGGCTGATGTGAGTCTCTCATGCTAATCTAAGCTTACGGAGAGTTGTCGCCTTTGTGGCTCGAGCTCCCTTTCCAGTGATAAACACCTCTGGGTTGATTGTTCAAAATCCGAGCGAGAGGTAGCCACTTTCTCTTTAGCTTCCTCCAACATAGTGTTTATCTCAAAAAGTCTGGACTTGTGCCTTTCCTGAAGACAAATGAGATCGGCCTTGACACCTTATCGACTAAGAAGAGCCTCTACGAAAGTTATGTGGCCTTCCTCAGCTGCGTAGGCTAGTGGGGTATTTCCACAGTCATATCTTGAGTTCATGTCCACATCTCTATGCTGGAAAAGTAAGTCCAGGATCGCTAGTTGGTTTCATATCGCTGCTTGCCCAAGAGGTGTCACTCCTTCAACATCTTTGGAGTCTACCTCCACGCCGTCACATTCAAGAAGATCCCTGGCCAATGGAACATCTCCCACATGGTTGCAAATGCCAGAAGGGTCAGACCAAGGTTATTCTTTGCATTGATGTTTAAATGATGTAAGATAATAGAGTTTCACATCTTTAGGTCTCCGTCCGTCATTTTGACGTCCAGAAGTGAAAAATGGGATTGTGAAAACTTCGGCAGCACAAGGTCCTGGTGGGAAAGCAGAAAACCAGAGTACTGTAAGTCCAGAGCCTCCTTGTTCCCTGGTACAGAAGCTATACTAATGCGCACTTGCATTAGGGATATCGCGCTGGTTTGTTAGCGCGGCACGTAGCCTCGCTCGACATAGTAGATTAGGCTCAGGGTTGGTAAGATCGCATTCGGGGCGTAGTAATTTTGCCTTCAGTGGTCTTCGCTTCTGGGGGCCGTGCCGTTCAAAGCTGGTAACTGGTGGAAGTATTTGCGCTCGGATAATCCTCCAATTTTCGCGCTTAGGAACTTCATTTGAACCCCGCTTGGTACTGCATCCTTTTTCACAGCCCCGTTTCAGACCCCTGCAAGCCATGGGACTGGAGCGTGAGCGTAGTCGGAAGCATTTGATTGGCTAAACACGTGCGGCGGCTGCATTGGTTGAGCACGGACTTCATGCAGAAACTGCGGAACTAAGCATGGGAGAAGATCGTGGGGTGTGCTGATTGGCTCTTTGGTTACATCGTAAGAGTGGTCAATCATCAGACTAGGGAGCCTCAACCCCCGCATTTGTAAGTATTTCAGACCTGAAAATTGGCCTGGATAATTGATTTCAAAGAAAGAGCCCACAGTGACAATGGAAGCCCTTGGCGCGGTATCTTCAGTCTTGGCGATATATAACCAACTAGAAGGATGTGCTAAACGGCTACACCGATTGAAGCACAATTTTCGAATTGCTGAGCAAGAGGTAAATCTTCTCGCAGACGAGGTATCTGCTTGCCAGAGCCTTTTTGGGATATTTACACATATCAGTCATCCGCTGGAAAACCGAGTGATGCGATTGGCCCGCGACCAACAACTGGAGAAAACTCTTGATATTCAAACGACTTTCGCCTTCGGGCAGATTGGTGACATTCTACTGAAGCTTGAACCTTTGAAAAAAGGAACCAATGCCAGTCGATTTGACCAGTTTGTTGCGAAAATCCGATGGCATTTGACAAAAGACGACATTCTGATTCCGCTTATCACGCTGAGCAGTGTGAAAATAAGTTTGACTGCCTTTACCTGTCTGTTGGTCCTCGATTCTTCTATGGCAAACCTGAAAAGGCCATCCATTTCAGATGCTGAAAAGAAATCCCTCATTTTACAGATGTCAGGATAATTATCTCCCCGCAAGCTTCATGCTCACACTTCTAATGGTCTATTTTCCAAATTCAGAAAACAGCTCAGAAGGACGGTCAACCGCCAGGAGAAATGTCTGCGACGTGTGGCGAAAAGAATGAGTGAATTTATTGACACACACTCCCAGCCGAAGTGTGTAATAAATGCAAGATCGATGGTCATCATTATACAACAAATGAAGCAAGAGCCGATTGCTGAAGCACAGGACTTGATCAGGGAGCATCTTTCCAATTCACCTCTCCACACCTTGTCTCCGTCACGAGAGACTCCTCTCGCATCGAGAACCATGCTTATACAACCTCTATCCGGGGGTCCATCTGATATTTCTGGCTCTTTCGTCAGAATGTCACATCCCTCTGAGACTGGTCTGTCGCCACAAACAGGCGCATTGGCTATCAGGAAGAAGCGGCGACAGACACGCCCTGTGTTCCATGATTATGGTGATGGGAATAGAGAGACTTATGAAATCGACTCTTCCGCTTCTTCTCACCCTAGTCGCCCGAGTACCAGTCCAGAGTTATATCAATCTGCATATGTGCCTGTCCCACCATTCAATAATTCTGATTGGCAGTTGCGGAAGCAATCGAAACGTGAAGTTTAATACCAACATTCCTTCTCTTCCTCCATTTGGATCCAGATATGGCAATTCAAAGATTCTAAATCTTTAATTTATTTCTGTCGTTCTGCGCAAATTCAATTGTGCATCCAATAGAACGGTTTCATTCCAACTAAAAAATCCTAAGGCGATTACCGTATCACGCGCTGGAATGATGAACTTATTCTGCCAATATAATTCAGAAATGATATACTAAAATGAAGACTGCCCAGACAGCATGCCGGTAAGAGCATCATGATGGTGCAGGTACAGCCAAACAGCAACGAAAATGAGGTTTGGCCTTGGGCATTCACGCATCACTCGTGACACGGCTGGGTACCTCAAATCGTCGATTATTCAATTTTCGGACGGTTTAATTGGAGTGTGGCTTGTTTGTTGGAATGGACAATTTGAGACAAAACTGACTTCGCTCGCCTGTTTCATCGGCTTGTGGCAGACACGGGACCATGGACTCCCGATGCCTACTTATAGAGGCTGAGGGTACAGGAATTCCTGGTAATATTTTATGTCGGTGGGTAATCATTCGCGGCCACATCTTCAAGCAAGTGAAGAAAAGTCCTTGCTTCTTAAACACGGATAATAATGTTGCTTCGGGTCATTAACTGGAACTCTAAGTAGACGGCTCTCTATAACGATAATGAGGGAAGAGTTACCGTGGGGCGCAAATCAATCCTAGTTCGAGGTGTCCTCATCTTGGTAGTGATCTAAAGGGAATCTTGCCGAACCCTTTGATGGCCTGCCGTTTCCAGATCGAATGCAGAGGAATGTCCCGGCACAAGGCCAAATCTAGCCTAAAGAGTGGCCATGTAATGACCATTTTAGAGTGACCGTGATAAGAATACAGTGTTGCTCCATGGGCGCTAGGTGAAATCCAATCATGTCCACTGACGAAGCGCTGCCTATGTCGCTTTGTGCGTGAGTGAGGAGAAAATAGGTGGAATAAGTGGTCATTGCCGCGGAGAGGGTGACCTGCTTAAAAAAGGTACGAATAGCAAGAGAATAGGAGGACAACCTCATTTTTAGAAATTCAATTGCGGGTTTGTCGAACGAGTAGGGGAAGGCATTGGAAAAATTCGGTTTCCAGTTTGTTAGTCGCGGAGATCTGTTGTCAGATGGCTCTACGCCACTGAAGCTAGCATCCACAGTGGCTTTCTTGTGGCCGACTCGCATGAGGTATACCCTTTTACGGTTTCACGGTTTCACAGCAAGCGCCCGTTCCCACTTCAATTGGCGTATCGCTTGCTCAATCCTGGTCAGCATATCTGAGCATATATCTTTGGGCAAAATTTAGGCCCTTAAAAAGGCCTCCTGTGGCTGTTCAATGCAAAGAATATCATCAATCCCTATCTTCCAAAATTTGCTCCAGTCCGCTTTCTACCCCAGCTCGGAAACATGTCTCAGCCTGCTCCTACGACAGCGAGAGAACGTGCGACAATTATTAAGAAGCAACAAGAAGACGCGTTAGCTAGACTCCCACTCAACTCGCTTTTCATTGTACTTTGGATTCGATCTGACCCTCCTCGTCAAAATGACTTCCACTGGGGTCACTACTTCCATACGAGTGCAATGGGCGGCACCAAATATCATATGCGAAATCTTGGCGGAGGTTGGATGCCTGACCACGGTCCTACTGGCGGAGTGTTTAAATCCAATTTTCTGTGTGTCCTCGTCCAAGTTGCCATTGTTCCAGGGACCCTCTATGGTCAGCTTGATCAGACTATGAGATCGCACGATGGGGATGTCAACAGTATACCTGGAGTCACCTGCCGTGTATGGTTGATGAAGATCCTACAGAAACTCCCAGCAGGGCTTTGCTCGATACAGCAATGTTGAAGCTTTGCTGCAGGAGTGCATGGGGATTGGGAACCAATATCGCGCAAGCGCTGCCATCAATCAGCAGCCCCGGCCCGTTGTGAGATCTAGACTATGTCTCTGAAAGAGTCACGAGCGCTTGTTCCAAGGATTCAGAATCGTCATGTGTATTTAATTCTGTTCAGTCTCAATGCTGTCGCCCTTCAATCATTGATTGCTCCTGTATCTCCTCGCCTCTAGAGACAATTTCAATATAAGCTTCAGAGCAGGAAAGCGCAAAGGAAGCAAATTCATGGACTAAATTCACTACTTCCTTCAAAAAGCTATGTATGAGTCAACCGTTAATGAGTTGAGCGCAATATCACAAGCTAACTCTCCGTAATACTGGTCTCCTCCTATCCACCGAGTCACTTGAGACCACCAACTGCTTTTTCCATATCTCATTGCAGTCGTAAATTCCCAGTACTCAGGGTACCAACCGGCGGATTCCCAATCAAGAAAAGCCGATAAATGACCATCATCTCCGACGAGAACGTTATGAGCCTTGAAGTCACCATGGGTGAATGCAATCCCGTGAGGATATTCGCGAATTTCATTCGCTTGCGCCAAAGCCTTCATGTATTCTCTAGTCGAATCAAAGCCGTGTCTAGATGCAGGACTTAGGAGATAATCCTGGAGCTCGTCTTCGTCTGTGAACGGACCCATTATGTGACTCGGCACTCTTGAACTTCGCAACGAGGTGCCTATAACTGAGCAAACACTCAGGGTATGATTTGAGACCCAAGTACGCATGGAAGTCACGCATTTTTTCAGTTCGAAAAGCCACGGGTCTTCCAGTTCAACGTGTAGATGGTCGGCTGAGTTCTCAAGTGGGTTGCCAGGAAGTCTCGTCATCAATATGGAGAAAAAGCGATTAAAGGGCGCGCGAGGATGTTCCCCGAAAGACAGAACTTTGGAACTGGCATTCCGGCAGCTCGCGCCATTTGCATCGCGACAGCCTCCTCTATGCTGGTTCGATCTGTCCACTTTAAGACCAACCCAAACGGTAACTGTATGATACTGGCGTCGAAAGGGATGCTGAAGCATGAACAGTACCAGCGTGACAATTGATACAGTAATTCATGGAATAGGCCACTGACTCTGCGTCTTATTCTGCCTGGAATAGGTGGCATTCCGGGCGTCGTTTCGCATATTGTTGATAGCATCGGTCGAGGCCAGGTAAAATCCGGTCGCAAGAAAGACGGTACCCATGTCCGGTACATTGCAGTGTCAAGGGAAGGAAGTTTGGCACTATCGAGTATTGCAAGTCTGACATAAGATTTGTAAGAGAAAGGGTTTGAAAAGAAGATGACACGGCGTACGTTAGTTTTATGAGGGGCCTACTTAGGTGTCGGCATAGATTAGATGATGTAAGCAAAGTGTTCACATGATTAGACGTGCCAATATGGGACCGGAAAAAAAATATTCTTGTCCAAGTCCCATTTGCCTAGATCCCATATCCCTTATTTCCTGCATAATTGCCTAAAGAGGAAATGGATAAATTAATGTAAATTACGAAGGTAATTTTGGCTGTTTTATATTTGTTTTACTAGTTACAGTCAGGGATATCATAAAGATATATATCTACACCCAGGGACTACTTATATTTTCCTAGCCTTATGAATCTCTACTTTTTTTCCCTAAAATTAGCTAAAATAGTGATTTTTAATATATTTTCGATTAGAACTAGTCATTTTTATCTTATTTCTTCTAAAACTCGATATCAATATAAGAGATTTCCAGGAAATTATTAAAGAGATATATGTTAGCCTACTTATCACGTGATTAACTTCACTAAAAGTTAAACCCCTAAAATAGGGGTTCAACTTAATTAATCCAATTCAAAGGTAGAAGAGGGGGGAGAGGGTTATTAGTAGTAATTTTCCTCTGTATCTTAAATCCTCTATACATAGTCAATACAGCAGAAAATTTCAACAAAGTTATGCAGTCATGTGATCTTTCCTAATCTGGCTAGATCGAGTCCCATGGGATCCCATGGGACCACCCTTCTTGTCCAAATCCCAGAAGCAGAATCCCATAGGACTTACGTAAGTGGGATTTCCCATGGCTTAGCGTGGGAGTCCTACGTGGACCCATAGGTCCATGTCCCATATTGGCAGGTCTACACATGATACTTAGTCAGCACATTCATGAAAGTGTGTGCAGAAAGGTAGAAGAATGGACAGACCAACACATCCTCGAACGGGTATCCATTGGTCCCGATCCACCGCCTGATTACGTGCTCTGATACCTTTCATCACGTGATAAGTTGCTCAGGTATGCACTCAGTGCAGCATCAGGCCTAGAAATATTTCCACCCAACTCAAGCAAAGCCGATTCCTACTGTACTTTTGACTATGATGGCTTTTGATCTTCTGCGCATATTCCGTATCCAGTTACAGAGCCAAGTCCTCAGTCATCGCGAACGCAGTCCAAAAATTCACAAAACACAGATGTATGCAAGAAAATATACATTTAATGATGGTTGGTTGGAATCCAATAAAGGATGATTAGCGAGAGGTTCCAACTATCAGCGAGGGCTTTGCAGGCCGTTTAGCCGAGTGGAGAAAATCCGATGCCGTGCTCGCGACGGCATCGGCACTCCATGTCTTCTAATGAGCGGTAATCGTGTTGACTTACCGAGTAGCTTTGGCCTCACTGATCCATAATATAGCCTTATCTTTGCGCAGCTGCTTGTGGAAATCACCGTCGATCAACAACCCATCCACATAGTGGTCGAGTCTGCCACAGCAAGCTAGAGGGCCCTTACAATTCGACAGAAGGTACAGAATAAAAAGCAGTGGAAACGCGATTATTCACCTGCGGACTGATTAGCAGGGTATTCATGCACAAATATTGTAACTACTAGCGACACACTAGCGGTACTGTTTGCGCGCGCGGGCGCGTATCATGGATCGATCATTGGCGTGTGTTATCGTTTGAGCATATATAAACAAATTCTAGGTGACTGACTTTATATGACATGATTTACTTGCATCACCTATAGTACCCATCGCGGTCGTAATCGAGCAAGTGTGACAAAGCCGAAAAAGACCTAGACTTACGCGGCGCGGGCTCCACACTCTCGCAGATCGTCGCATTCTGACTGTTTACACTATCGTTCTCTGACAGGAAAGCGCCTCGGACGCGCGCGCGAACAGCAGGCGTTTTGATGCCTTTCTGAAATCATTTCCACTCTATACGAGGACGAAGGGCGCATACAAGGGGCTAACGGCAAGAAGTATGGGATCATTGCAAACACAATGATCGCCTATGAGCAGGATTGATAACACCATGTGATAATGTCCCGGATATATACTTTCCCGGTATGGATGCTTGGGAGCCCGAATGCACGGTGTTCGCGCCCGCGCCGCCTTTCCGCCGCACCCAGGTTTCGTTAGCCGCCCGCCCCATCGACCTCGACAGCGATCCGCACAATTAATCTGGCGCCTACAACGTAGCCCTCATTGGGTGTATTGTTCTTGTCTTTGAATATAAGAGTCCGACAACCTCAGTAACTTCGCATCTCAACTTTGGTTTTCTTAATCTTGCAGACACAATCATGGCTGAACCAGTAGGGCTAGCCTCCGGATTAATTGGCCTGGCAACGTTCGCTTTTCAATGCAGCGTCTCGCTTTATGAAACTGTGAACAGTTTCCGGTCCCATCCAAAGCGCGTGCGTGACCTTCTCTGCGAGCTGGAAGCTTTGGGTGCCGTGTTGGCCCCACTCGTCGATCTAGTAAAATCGACCTCTGACGTCGATCTCTCGGTACTGGATCTGCCGCTGTTGCGATGTGGCAATGCCTGCAAAGAGTTCCAGCAGGAGGTGCTCCGTTGCGCATCGCGATCAAACAATAATCGGACAAGTTTCCGGGACTGGGCCAAGCTGACGTACATGGGTGACAATATTGACGATTTCCGCAACTTGCTGTCGGGATACAAAGCCACGATCAATATTGCCTTGACTGATGCAACTCTGTAAGTCACCTTTACTTGTGACAGCGCCTTTTACTGCGCTGTGATTCTTGTTTTGCATTTGATTCTGACCGTTCACCAGACGTCAATCTGCAATCGCTGCTGAAACCATCGGGGACTACGAGAACCTCATCCAAGATGCCAAGGAGGACCTCGAAGCCCGACTTGAAAGTATTGATAGGAAGTTGGAGCACCTAGTCGTCAACGATGCGGCTCAGCCTGGACTAGATGCGGCCGAGCTGCAGTCGCTCCGGGAGGAGCGCCTGAGCACCGAGAAATGCCTCCAGATTTGTGCGCAGCTGTCAAGTCACATCGATCAGATTCAGCTAATATCTGACGAGACGGATGCATCTCGTGAATCAACCGGGACAGAAACGTCTCCCGAAACCCTCACAAATGAGGGCCTGCAAGAATGCAAACGAAGCTTGACTATCACAGCTGCCAAGTTGGAAAAGCATATGCGAGATATCATGGACCGGCTACTGGCAAAATCAAAGTCAGTCATCTCGTCGGACGAAGAAGCCCAGGACCTGTCAAGATTGCGCGATGAATGGGAAACCGCCCGGCAGTGCTTGGATATTTGCTCCCGGGCTGACAATCACCTGAGGGAGAACGTCAGTGTCATTGAAAACTATGGCACCGGCGACGCTTTGCAGTTCATGGTCTCCGCGAACGGGAAGGTCTTACATGGGAAGAACCGGGGTGTGGGTTGGAGGAGCAGGCAAGTGGGAGGCTACTTGAGCGATGAATCTATCCAGCAACTATCACGAGATCTCGCAACCATGCAGACGAGTCATCTGAGGGGCGAAGATTCCTTCCCGAAGGCCGGGGCCACGCCCAGTGCAGACGACAGGATGCAGGGCGAAACGACAGCAGAATTTCAAGAACGATTTGGAAAAGGCTTTACTCTACAGCCGGTGACTTCGCCGAAAACACAAATGTCATCACCGTGAACAAGCAGTGACTGGGTAGAAACGCCGAGGAGATGAGTAGCTTTGTCTATGCTTCTATATTCGTTCAGTTAGTGTGCTCCTGGGGCTTTCCTCCTGCCTTAAATTCAATTAGGTTCTAAAATAAACCACTTTGATTTGAAGTTCTACTTTCAAGCTCTGGGGCAGGCCTAGAGTAATACTTTTTCGGTTTTAAGACCAATCTATCACCTATCTCACAAATCCTGATTAACAGCTGTAAGAGAGGTGTTATGCCTAGTGGATGACTCTTTTTGTTCAAGATGTCCTGGATTCATCAGAAAAAAAGAAAGGAAAGTTGCTGAACACTGTCGTCATAAAAATGGCCGTTCAAGTAACGTGATCTCCACCCTAGTGCCTTATTTAGACCTCGCCAAAACTCGCCCACCGCCCAAACCCACCCACGAAAACCCAACCCACGGGCTGGGTTGGGTCTTAGTCAGCATACCCGTGGGCGGGTTGTCATCTGGGAAACCCGACCCAAGACCCAAATGGGTACCCTGTATAACCCAAAAAAGCAAAAATAGTTGACATATCATTTTGCACTAAATTATGCAGTAATTTTAGATTACGTGATGGTTTAGCCACTGTCTGGGTATCTTAATCTATAGCGGGGAGATTGGGGAACAAATATTATAGACAAAGGGAATGAGATTGGTGCATGAAGACTAATATAGCTCGTACCCATGCAGTCGACTTGAGGGCATCGTTACCCTACCAGAGGATCTCTTCTGACTTCTATCGCCCAATTGTATTATTGGAGGTGGAAGCAAATCAGCTTCATCGACTTCAATTACTTCCCCCTCTTCCACCTCATTTACGTCTCCATCCTCATGGTTCGTCTGGTTGTGCGTTGAAGGCCGGTCAGCCTCTACCAGTATACTTTCAACTTGGTATGAGGCCTCGATTTCCAAATTGCCTTCGATGTCTTCACTTTCTTCGACCTCTTCCTCGTCACTGATCGGCTCAGCATCCTCTTCATTTCCTTTCAACGCTTCATCCTCTTCAATTGTCTCTTGACCCTCAATCTCCGTCGACTTTTCCAGGCGAGCTAACTGCTCTCCCTCCAGTGTAAATTTCTCTGAGCACATATACATCATCAAGTCTTGAATAGTCACTTCATGAAGAGACCCTCGACGATAATGACAGATGTCTCGCGCACTGTTGAAAAGCCTTTCCACCCCCGCGCCGGTGGCCGGAACCGAAAGCAAGTCGCGTGCCAGCCGAGAAAGCACAGGGAACTCACGCTCATGTTCTCTCCAATAGAGCCGTGGTGGCACGGGAACATTTGCTATAGAAATCAGTTAGTGGTCTAAGTGTAGTATGCCAGTTGCCCATACCTTCTCGGAGGTACCGATCCACCTCGTCATGCTCTACCCCTTCGAGGAGCATATAGTCATTGACTGGTTCAAGTAGCCGATCAAGTTCTGAACTATGCAGTGCCGACGAACGATGCACTGTACGAAACAATAGCTCAGGATTTTGTTGTTGATACTGCGTGAAACACGCTCTCAAGTATTCACAGTACCTTTTCGAAGTATCCTCGTGGCAAATAGAATACTCCCATCATCAAAGGCAGATAGTTTATATTGAGGAGCAAGTAGAGCTCCCGTGCCATAGAGAAAGCCGTGGTCACGGTAGGTCTTCTCATAGTACTCTCTCAGTTTCTGCCTCGCAACGAGCAGCGCGCTATACATGTCCTTCTTCCAAGGCGTTGTCTTTTTCTTCAACTTTCGATTTGACCGTTCGATATGCTCCAGAAGTTTCCTATACACAAGGAACACGCTATGAATTGTCACGTCTTTGGTCTTCATTAGAGCCATGGTGAATTGGAAGAACGGTTTGGTCAAGTGGACTAGATAGTCAATTTGCCGCATTCAATGTCAGTAATCTTGAACTGAGAGTATTCATGATCGTCGCAGTATTTGTCGATGATATTTCTTAGTCGACGCGCACGGCGAAGCATCAAAAAAGTGGAGTTCCAGCGTGTTTGAACATCGTGCAACGGAAACAGCCGGGTTCCGCCTGATTGAAGACATAAAAATGTATCTCGCCGTTGTGGGCTTGCATTGACAAATACCGCAAATGACCGAATCTGCCTTGATCAGTACTCCGCCCATATTTACAGTCATTCGTGGAAGCTCCAGACTCACCTTTGCCAGGGTATGAGCCACATCTCCGTGGCTTGCTGAGTCTCTTAAACCGATGACTTGAGTATCAGACCAAAAGGTCTTTACTTCTTTGTTCTTGGGCGCTGCTCTAATATGCCCCAAAAGCTGCTTTAGGCAAAGCTGGATCACATGGGCCATACAAGGAACCCGGATAATGGATTCCCTGGAGCCAATCGCGCCAGTAGAGATCAGTTTTTTTTGCAAAGCGCGGATCAACGTCTCATTGTTGGACGCATTATCTGTCGTGACGCTAAAGATGCGATCCAAGAGTCCACGTTCCTTCAGTAACTGATGGAGAACATCACTGAGGTTGTTCCCTGTGTGGGGACCGTGCAATGGTTCAAAGCCAAGGAGCATTTCTCGGTAATTCCAATCTTTGTCAATGAAATAGACTGTGATTGCCATAAATGCTTGCTGGAATGGACTGGTCCAACAATCCAACGCGAGTGACACCTTAGCGTCTTCAGGCAGATCTTGCAATTGCGACTCCTGTTGAACTGTAACTGCATTCCGGAGTCGCCTTCGCAGGGTTTTTGCTGACGGAAGTTCCAGTACTCCAGTTCCCGAATTTACGAGATTAAGCAGCCTCTGGAACACAGGGTTCTCCACTGTTTGGAATGGCAACCGAAGACAGGTAATAGTCTTTAACAACTGCTCCTCAAGTTGGAATGTTGTTACCTTGTGCACATTGGCCGACTCCCTCATGGAATGGTTTTGCAACGAATCGGGGATTAGTGTTTGATGAGATCCTCTTTTCTTTCCCTTGCGGCAGGAATTTGACTTTTGGTGTCTACTCATAGCACTTGTCCCATTGCCTTTGTACTGTGGATGATCAAGCAAAGTAAGACAGGCTTTACAAAGGACTCGTGGGCGACCAGAATCGATATCGGCTACCTGGTCAAAGTGTTTCCAAGCGTCGGCATGACGCGACTCGGTAGACCACTTGATTTGGGACTGACCGTCCCCGTTTAGCTTGTGGCCATATTCGGTTTTCTCCCACCATCCTAAAAATTCTCTCTCCAGGTATAACTCGTACAAAACCCAGTTCTTTCTGCGTTGAGGTCCCACGCGTCTTAGCGTCGCCGGAGGTCTTCGAGTATTTATGTCGTAGCTCTCGCGGGATTCGGTGAAAGGCTGTAGGCTATCTTAGCATACCAGTGGGGAGTCTCGCAATAGTCAATCAAGCACACGAAGGAGGCATTTGTTCTCATACAAAAGACTGAATATCCGAGTCCAACAAAACGTCAGACGATGGCTCAATAGAGAGCAGAGGGCTGAAAGCCTGATACCTTGATTGCGATGACGAGGAAGAAGCCGCCATGTTGATGGTTTGTGCCATCGGAGTTGAAGATAAAAATATCCATCTTGTGTGCTTGAATGTGGATTTTTGTTAGAGTCGCGTCGTGCGTTTGGATCTATCTATTCTTGAGTCGCGTAAGCCCGCGGGTACCCAAAACCCAACCCAACCCAAAACCCGCGCGACTTGAGGACGCTGAGAACATTCCAATGGCTAACTTTAAGTGCGTCAAGTTGAATATAATCGAATGAATACAACGCAGTGAGCTTGGATTCCATTAAACTTTCATAAGCTCATCGATACGGCTTGAGATCTCTTGAGATACAGAAAGACTGTCAAGAGAAACCTCGAGATAAGCAGAATATATATATATTTTCTGACACATGATGAGGGGGCAGTATTTGAGCGTAACACACAGCCAAAAGCGTGACAATTATAAAATACAAAAATTACACACAGTGACTAATCAGTTTTATTCGCGATTTAGCCATATTTTTGGGTATTTTGGGTAACCCGCGGGTACCCGCCAAGAACCCACGGGCGGGTTCATGAAGGCCAAAACCCGCGGTGGGCTACCCGTGGGCGGGTAAAGAAATTGAAAACCCAACCCAAACCCACGCTTGGCGAGGTCTACCCAACATTCATACATCATTCTTCATCACGATCATGCATCCCCAAAAACCCCAGCTGTAACCAATCGCGACCGCCTCGCGATCGTTTCCGCCAATTGCACCATTGACATAGAACTCATCAACTCAAATGTCCGCACATGCCCCCCCATAACTCGGGAAACCCAATTCTGCAACTCCACTGAAACAAGCGAATCCAACCCATAGCTGGCCACCGAACGACCTACCTGTAAATTCTCTTCAGGAAGAATTAGCAACTGCGCAATCTTCTCCTGTAGCGCGCGCAGCGTGACACTCGTCGCCGTCTCAGGGGATTCAGCAGCCCGCATCGCAGCCTGCATATCGAACCCCCCCTGCTTACCGCCAGCTACCTCAGCCTGATCTTCAGTAATTTTCTGGTAAATGTGCGAGAATTTAGCGTCGCGTCGTTGGCGCAGGGCTTCTTCGGAGCCGGAGCCTGGGTCTTCACGTCTAGCGCCGCAGAGGATCTGGGCTTCTGCGGGTGTGCGGGCGATTGGGTTGTTGATGGCGTAGTTGATTACTGCGAGAAGTTGGCCGAGTGTGTGTGGGCGGAGGCCTAGGCGGCGTTCGAAATTGGCGATACGCTCGTCTTCCGCGACGGTACCTTCCTCGGCGACCATTCCGATGTCGATGCTGAGTGCTGGGAGGCCGTGAGATGCGCGGTTTCGCGCGAAGGCATCGAGGAAGGTGTTGCTAGCGCAGTAGCTGCTTAGTGTCGGGGCGCCTATTATGCCGTTGATGCTGGATAGTGCTATGAAGAAATCCAGGTTTGAAGTGAGTGTTTTGGAGAGGTGGATGGTGCCCTGGACCCTGGGATGGATTATCTCGGTCCACTTCTTGAGTGTGATTTCTTTGAAAGACGTGTGCTATGAAGGTGTTAGTTTTGAGATATCCTGGGGGAAAGCTTGGGGTATAATATACCTCCACGACCATGGCGCCTTGGATGATGCCGCGCAGTGGGATATCTTGTGTGGCCTCTTTGACTCTCTCCAGCGCCGTTGGATCAGCAACACTGCCGCGAATGACAGTGAGAGTAGTGTCACCAGGAGAAAGCTCCTTTAACAGCTCCTTCATGTGTGGAGAATCATCTCCTGATCGCGATAGGGTGATGATTTGACCTGCGCCCAGACCGGCCAGGTATCGTACCAAAGCTCTGCCAACTCCGCCGGTACCCCCGACTACCAGGTACGAGCCGTCTCGGCGTAGGACCGCTGGCGGCGGAGTTGGAGGCTGCACTTTGAGCGTCATATCAGGGCTGAGCTCTATCAAGAGCTTTCCTGTGTGCTTTCCACCCTGCATCAGACGGAAGGTATCCTCCAGTCCAGCGGCCGGTTTGACGGTAATAGGGTCCAAGAGCGGAAGGTTCGGGGAGCTGGCAATTTCTAGGGCGTCCTGAACCACTTTTTGGAATACCATGGGCCGACTGGTGGCTAGAGATACAAGGTCCACAACGGCGAAAGTAATGTTTTTGGCAAGGGGCTTCATCTCCAGTCGCCCGTTTCTCTCGAGGTCTCTTTTACCGATTTCGATGAACCGTCCAAATGGCGCAAGGGTACTGCATGTCTCGTTCAGCGCGTCCCCACTCAATGAGTTCAGCACTACATCGACGCCTTGATTTTTGGTTTGGGAGCGAACTCCGCGACTAAAATCAAGGTCCCGGCTGGAGAAGATGTTACTGTCTTCAATCCCAAATTTTTCTTTGATGAGAGCACGCTTCTCGTCATTTCCCACTGTGACAAAGATGCTGCCGGCGCCCAGGTACTTTGCCACTGCCACTGCTGCTTGACCTACAGCCCCAGCGGCAGAATGGATAAGAATTGATTCACCGGGTTGGAGATGGGCCACGTCCCTGAGACAGTAGAGAGAGGTTGCATATGCCACGATCACAGCTGCTCCGTCTTTAAGACAGAGTCTCGAGGGCACGTGGAACACATGGTGAGAATCTAGATTGCTGGTGGTGGCAAGTCCCCGTGGACCAAAAGCACAGACCGAGTCACCCACAGCAAACCTAGCTTGGGCAGTACTTCCAACTCCAACAACAGTGCCACTGCCTTCGATTAGAATATCTGTGTCACTGCTGAGTTGGCCCATCGCAATCATCGTATCACGAAAATTGAGAGCCATGAATTCAAACTTTACGCGGACTTGATTGTCCTTGACAGGGAAAGAATCCAAGACGCTGTCTTTCCAAAAAATCGTGTCTAGCAGTCCCGCAGTCTGAATCTGCAGGCGTAGAGCCCGCTCGGGATCAATTTTGGATTCCAGACAAGGGTGGAAATGAGATACGGTATCCTGGACGTAGCTGTTCATGGTCTCGTCCAACATTAATCGAGGTATCAACACCTTTCCATCTCTCAATGCATACTCAAATTCCGAATCAGATTGCAGTGGTGCTCTGCTGCCGAGGGTATGCTGGAAAACCTTCCATATGCTATTAGCCATGTCATCAACACACATGACACCAGGATCAAGATCCAGGGTGAACAGCTTGCGCTGGTGGTCTTCTGAATGCAGACTACGCGCCAGACCAGTGATAAGAGAATGGTGTGGCTCGCTGCAGTCTACCGCTGCACCTCGGGTGATCCAAAGAACACCACTTGCTCGGCATATGACCTCTCGCGCTTTCTCCCATTCAGCCTCGTTTGGCTCGCTCAGGAACCCGCCACCTAGAGGATCTAGCAACATGATGTAGATGCACTCACTGGCATTCGCCTCTAGCAAGGGAACTTGCGAGACGGTGATGCTATCTTCATTTGTCTTGATTAGGATTGCAAGCCCCTTGGCCAGCTCAACAGTCTTATCCACCGTAACAATCGATACTCCTCGTGTGGATAGACATGGCTCTTGTTCCGGGACGTTTTTCGTGACCAGGGCGCTAATTTCGTGATCTTCATCCGACTCATAGTCCTTCATTTCCAAAGAGACACCAGAAAAGCCGTTTTCTTTCAAGACGTTGTCCCATCTTTCAGTGTTCAGCAATGGTGAGTTTTCCCTTCCGTCATTTACACCTTTCCACCACCCAGCCAAAGATCCAGCGAAGAAACCCCATCGCAATGAAGGGTTGGTGGTTTCCAAGAACACCATTGAGCCGTCCGGCTTCAACAGCTTTCGAAGATTGCCCAGTGTGCTCTTCAATGATCTAGTTATGTGTACGACGTTTGAGGCGACGATAAAGTCGAAGGACCCGAGGTCAAAGCCCTGATCCTCTGGGGGCATCTCAATATCAAACTTTTGGAACTCTACCACGGACTTATATCTTTCAAGGAGACCCTTTGCATGTGCCAGGAAGAGTGTGGAAATGTCAGTGAAGACATAAATTCCCAAACGTGCGCCGTGCTTTTTCAGTAAAGCGTCGAGCAATGGCACTGCTAGACTGCCAGTTCCACCGCCGATTTCAAGTATGCGGATGCTGGGATTCTTGAACTGCGCCAATTTGATGTAGTTTATCATTTGGCTATGGCATCGATTGAGATTATCATCGTCGAAGTAACATCGGTAGAGAAGGTCATTCTCCAGCATCACTGTCAGTGGATGAACGTCTCCGAGCAGAATTGAGCGAAGGTGAGCCCCCACGTGCGCAACGGCCTCTCCGACGGCTCCGAGCTGCCGGACTTGTGTATCACTGACATCATCTATCACCGAGGGGTCACTGTCGATGGAACGCATCCATTGAAGAAGGAATTACAAGTCCCCCGAGATCATCTCCTCATCGGATGGGGACAGAGCAGCGAGTGTTCGACGGATTGCACTTCTGCAGAAGGGATCACAATTTCTGCGGAGGTGAAGTGGACCGAACGCTGCGACATTCTCCTGGCAGTGTTGCGCAACGCGGTCCAGTGGAGAGATCGTTAAGTCAATGTCCCATTCAAGGCGATGACACAATGTGGACCCAGCTCCATCCTTACTCTCCGGCATTTCAGCTTTCTGGACCGTAGTGTATTCAACCCCCTTTGCTTCGATCAAAGGTACCCTCTGTGTGTCATCCGGATCGTAAACATTGAACCATGCTGAGTACTTCGAAAGACAAAAGGCTTCAACCCTCGTTTCTACGGAAAGCTCACTGTCTGGCAAGGAAGGAATGTTGGTCGATATTTGTAGTTGGTTAATTGACGTGAGTACTGATGAGCTGCGCAATTTTCCTGCAGCGTGCAAGGCTGGAAATACGGCTTGGAAGCAGGCCTCGATCGTTGTCGGATGCAAGCAGTGTTTCTGTTGATATCCGCCAGGCATCAAGGATTGAATATTAGGGATTTTGAAACGACATTTAGACTCCCCTTCGCGTGTTTGAATCATCGAGAGACTCATGAAAGGACCTGAGTACTCGTTCCCGAGGGCGCGGATATCTTTGTAAAGCTTGCTAGAGTTTATCGTCTTCCAGCGCTCCGAAGATACATTATTCAAGTTATCTGGATCTTGTCTCGGGGCATTGCAATCCGGGATCACCGAGACCAAACCACGACAGTGTTCCGTGAAACTTTCTCCCTGAGAAGACGAGAAGACTCGAAATTCTTTCCACGTCGAGGATGAGTCTAGGGCAGTTTGAGTTTGAGGTCGAATGTGAAGAAACGTCTCTACCCCGATAGCATCGTTCTCGGAGAAGACCAAGGCGTGCCCAAAACTAATATCCTTGAATCGGACGAGGAGTTTTTTCCACGGGGGCGTTCCAGTCACTAGGCACCGCTCTCTCAAAGCTTCCACGACCATGGTAATGTATCCGGCGGCTGGAAAGATGACTTGTCCGGTTATGCAATGTCCAATCAACCATGGCAGCTCCGCAGTCCGAAGGTAATTTCTCCAGGTCGGTTCTTCATCGATGCTGTCGAGGGTCGGGGTTCCGAGAAGCTCGTGTCGGGGGAATTCTCGGAAGCGGTACGCCTTACTTCGGCGCGACTCCTGCCAGTGTAGCTTGTCGTGATGCCAATAGTAAGGTGGCAATCCATTTAGAATAGCTCCAGGGGTCTCTCCTACGGGGTGGTTGACCTCCTTAAGGGATATAAAAGCACCAAGAGTAAAAAGTTTCCCAGCCAGGTCAAGGGCAGTCTTTACCGCGCTCTCATTTCTTACCAGGACAGAAGAATAGCTGATTGGCCCAGCACCGCTCGAGACCCTGATGATCTGCGCTATCGGACCACCCAGCGCGGAATGAGGCCCAATTTCGACCAGTAGGCTCGGTCCCGTTGCACCCAGCGAGCCTTTCTGCTCCAAAATTGTCGAAAGCACGCCACTGACAGCATCAGAGAAGCGCACTGGGCATACCAGATTCCGCGCCCAGTATTCTGCACTCATCTCCTTGCCCTGTATGGGGAGCCCTGTTACTGAAGAGAAGATATGTGCTCCCGTCTTTGCCTGACGGGGGGAGATTCCTGCTAGTGCACAGAGGTAGGTCTGTTGAACTCGGGCGATGTGGTGGGAGTGGTATGCCACATCCACTGCCAACATGCGATTGAAAATTCTCTCACTTTCCAGGCGCGTTTGTAGCTGCTTCAGTGCCGACTTATCACCTGATAGTGTGACGCTAGACGGGCTGTTAATGCATGCAATTACAACCTGGTCTCGAAAGTCTTCAATCAACTGGTTAGCACCAGTCTCAGAGATACCAACGGCAAGCATGCTTCCTTCAAGATCAGGGTGGAGTTTTTTCAGCTGGCTAACAGCAACACCGCGAAAATATGCGACCCGAAGAGCATCCTCTTTTGTCAAAACACCGGCAGCATATGCAGCCGCTATCTCTCCGCTGGAGTGACCGCAGAAGAAACGGGACTGAACGCCCCATGATGTAAGCAGGTCAACAAGCGCAATCTGTATCGCGGTACAAGAAGGCTGCGCCACGTGAGCTTCGTCGATAATAGACTTCTCCGATGGCATCGACAGCTCTGATATTAAACTCCAATTTGCTCCCAACTGGATAAGTTCCTGCTCGGCTGCCAATATTGCACGTGCGAATACTGGATAGGCTGTTAATAACTCCCGACCCATGCCGGCCCATTGAGCCCCTTGACCTGGCAAGCTGTTAGATGATCTCTCATTTATCGAAATTCTGCCATACCTGTGAAAACGAAACAAACACTGGGCCGGTCTGCAGAATTTGTCTCTCGAATGTAGCCGTCTATGACACTGTCTAGCATTTGACAAAGCTCTTCCTTCGAGGAAGCCGCAACGGTCGCCCTGTATAACAGGTGGGATCTCCGGCAACTCAATGTAAACGCCAGCCTTTCCAAATCACTTAGCTCACTATTCTGAACGGGTGCTATGAGGTGGCGCTTCAGTCTGCGTGCCCATTTAGCAAGCCCGCCATCCCGGTGATGTGATAATGGAAAGACATATGTTCTATCCCGGTTTGACTCACGACTCGAACCTTGACGAGATCCAGAGACAACCGTAGTGGATGCAGTAGCTGGTGCTGCTTCGATGACTGCATGACACGTCGTTCCACCATAACCCGTGCTGTTAATAGACGCCCGTTTCACAGTGCCCGCGGGCCATGGTGTGCAAGCCGTCGGAATCTGATGAAGCAGTCAGTAAACACGAATACGAAGTGAACAGCTACAGTTTGAGCCCACAATGATACTCTTCTCATCTAGTCCAAGTTGCTCACTTGGCTTGCGCCAAGTCGGGTTGGGCGGAATTATGCCATTCTCCAAAACAAGGACAGTCTTGATTATTGACGCTAAGCCAGATGCGTTTTCGAGGTGCCCCAGATTAGACTTCACGCTGCCGACGAAGATTTTCTCGTTTCTTTTACCTTTGCCGAACGTATTCGCAAACGCCACTGCCTCTGTCTTATCTCCTGCCGTAGTTCCCGTTCCTGTGTGCTTGTCAGAGTTTCATTGTATGACACGATTCGCTTTCCCTTACCGTGTGCTTCCACGTATGGTGTATCAGCTGGATTCAGCCCCGCATCTTGATAGGCTTTCCAAATGGCAGCTGTCTGAGAGTCTACCGATGGCATTGTGATACCGGGTGTTCTGCCGTCGTTGACGACTGATGTGCCACGAATGACAGCGCGAATGGAATCTCCGTCTGCGAGGGCCGTGCTAAGCGGCTTTATCAAAATAGCTGAGACTCCTTCGCCTCGGCCATAACCACTGGCACGAGAGTCAAAGCTATAGCATCGGCCGCTTGGTGACAAGAACCTATCCGAAACATCGTCAGCTCAAAAAGAAATGTGCCACTTTTCTGGCTACTTACTGCATGGAAGATTGGGCTATAAGTTTGTCCGGGTCCATGATGAGGTTTGCACCGCCGATCAAAGCCTGGCGAACATCACCCATGTGAATAGCACGGCAGGCTTCGTGAAGCGCGACTAAAGTACTTGAACATGCGGTGTCAATGGTTAAACTGGGCCCATGCAAGTCGAAGAAATACGATATGCGATTGGCAAGTATCGATGCTCCAGTACCCGTAAAGCGATAGCTTTTGGCATGTTAGCTTGGTTTTTGCAGCTCGGGGACTGGCCATAAATTTTTCCCATACCTCGCTGGTAACTCTGGATCTCGTGCTAAAATCTCATCGTAGTCCGTGTACGACAAGGCACAGTATACTCCAGTTTCGGAATTTTCAAGTTTTTCCATGGGAATTCCTGCATTTTCAAATGTCTCGTATGCTACCTCTAGCATGAGGCGCTGCTGGGGATCCATGCACATTGCCTCTAAACCGCTGATGTTGAAGAAATCATTGTCGAACGCAGCTAGATCTTGTCTGAGTAAGTGAACTCCGCTGGCATTGAACTAGAAGTGATGAGCTATCTAGACTAAGTGCTAATCATATCAACATCCCTGGTGACTTACAGATCCACTGAGCTCGCTTTTCGGATGCCAGAAAGAGTCAATATTGAACCGGTCCCGGGCATTTCTAGACCAGCTTGTCATACCCTTCGAGAGCATCTGCCACAAGCCATCGGGTGTATCAGCCATTCCAGAGTAGCGGCAGGACATTCCAATGATGGCGACAGGCTCAGATCCACCATCATTGTCATTCTGAAATCCAAAGGTTATAGACATGCTGTGAGCGTTTCTCGTATAAGAACTGATACTGTTGGCTAGAGGAAAGAGGAACTGTGTTTGAAAAGACATCGTGATCAGAGGAATTCAATTTATTTTCTACATCAGCTCTTTTGTCCCTTTTTTTCTTCCTCTTTCCACTTGCATGGGGCATGCATGCATGTGATATGATATATATGCAGAAATCCCGTATCTTCAAGCAAGAGTGGAGTGAACGCCTCACAGTGTCACACGTGTCGATAAAGCTAATCAAAGACCGAACATAGCGCGATCGATCGGATCGATGTTAACTGGAAACTCTCCCCTTCAAGGGACTTGCAATTAGGTTAAAAAGGTTTCTAACTTCGTGAAATCACTCCGCGTCTTGAACATTCCGTCTTCCAACACAATCGCTTCAGTCCTCTTCAAACCCATTCAGAATGAGAACCCTAATCCGGCCCAGTATTCCTATCGGCCATGTCTACGCCAAATTGACCCCTCTGGACCAATATATGGCACGGGTTGTCCTTCCCTTGATGTGCATTTTCAAGCTCGACGAAAGTGGGAATCGGGCTTCCATCGTGCGTAGCTTGCAAGTGGGTCTAGCACACACCATCGATGAAATCAATATCATCGCCGCCACCGTGATCCCAGAGGACGCAGGGCGAGGTACCATACAGCTAGAGTACGAAGAGAATGCGGGAGTCATATTCTACGAGAATGACTTGCCCGAAATTCAATTTGATGCCCTGGCCGCTCGTCAATTCTCGTACTCTGAGTTGACCGTGTCCAGATTTTCTCCTGAGCCGTGGGGACACAGCAGTCGGTGTCCCGTCATTTCTGTTAAAGCCACTTTCATCACTGGGGGTCTGATTCTTGCTTTCAATGGACATCATGCAGTAATGGATGCTCAGGCATTGGGCACATTTGCCCACACATGGGCAAGAAATTTCCGTGCAGAGTCTGATGGTCTGAGGGTTACCGCCTCGCAAAAGATCTCACCAGATGCTTCGGATGGATCGAACTTTTTTGGCGGACACTCTACTCGGCCAATGTCTGATTTTCAATCTTATTGGAAGTGGTCCGAATGTTCATACCAGGAAACACAAAGGCAGATCCTTGAACATTCCGTAGCGGGCGATCACCTGCAGCTGAAAAGCCTGGTGGCTCTTTCACATTGGAGCCTTTCTCCAGAGGCGATGAATGGGTTGAAAGAGGTCGCACAACCCCCGTCCAGTGACCAGCCAATCGTGACCGAGATCTCTATCGTCTCTGCCTTGGTCTGGCGCCATTTAACTAGAGCAAGGCAACGGGCGGGAATCGAGGTAGGCAGCAGTTCGCTCCTCAGCTCGGTGAACGTACGCAGGCGGGTTGATCCGCCTCTGCCGCTTGAATACTTAGGCAACGCGATTGTGCTGGCAAGGGCCCACACAACTGCTGCAGATTTGGTCTCGGATGATGAAGGGTCGCTGTATGCGCTTGCTCACCAAATCGTCGATTCGATTGATTGGTGGACCCCGGATCGAATTTGGGAACTGGCCGGCAGCATCGATGCGAGCGCCAATGTTTACAATTTAGCCATGCCGGCAGTTGGATATGACGTGGTGGTCACTAGTCCCTCTCGTTTGGGAGATATCCTTAAGGAAATATCGTGGGGCACGGATTTGGGCCCCCTTCAAGCTTTACGATTTGCTTTCCCGGCCTTCATGGATGGATTTGTGAATGTGTTGCCCAGCATTTCCGGCGGGCACGATATTGTTATGTGGACGAACTCGGCAGTGGCAAGCCTCCTAGGAGAAGACGCCGAATGGCTGCGGTGGGCATCGCGAATTCTCTGATACGTAATATCTATCTATCTTACTTACGTAAGGCTTGGGGGAAATTCATGGCAATTTTGGAGGAACAACAGTCAACCTATAAACATAATGAATATTGAATATTTCAGGGATAAGTTGATGATGACCTCAACTAAATCGATCTAGATCGCTCGACACAGAGATATTACCCCCCTGCAAGCTATGCGAGTGTCCAAGGACACGTGCGTCCTGTTGAGCTGGACATGCATGCAGGCTTAGCGAGTACCGTGCTCGGAATGATTAGGAACATCAAGTATCTCACACCCTTATGCCTTGTGTATGTAGTGTATTTGTGAGCAACGCAGTGAGACACGCTAACCGATTTTAGGTCTAGTCTATTGGACATATCAGCGATCATCATCGACCTGCAAGACGTCCACAGTATGCCTATGGGATATAATAACAAAGATAGAGATCGAAAGACCGAAGGCGTGTACTAAAGTAAATCCAGACTTCTAGCAGTCAAAGCTGCAAAGCTATTTGGGACACAAGTTGGCCGACTCCAAACTTGAAAGAAGTTGCAATAAAAATTGGATTTATGTTGCTGTTCCAGATGAGAGTGATACCGACAGTGAAGACTGTCTATGCAGCAAGTGCTTATGCAGTCTGCCTTACTACGTAGCAGGCCTGAAAACTTGGTTTGGTCATCACTTTAAACGTTCAAGTCTTTTGATGGAGGCTCAAGTACCTTTTCATGTGCTTCCAATTCATTTTTTGATGGGTGGGAAAGAAGCGCCGCCGTTGGCAAGATGGTCGACCGGTCGCTCATCTTCACCGTTTGTTAGTCCTTGGAATCCAAATTTGAGGAATATAGATGCATGTTATATTCCAATTATCGCACGTATCTTCCAAGCTAGCGCAAGGATTAGGACCTATCTAGTAGAATGGCTTATTTGATTTTGGATGTTGTCGGGCGACTCTGGTGCAGTTGCTCAAAATCTTTCTGCGTACAACCGAGTGCTAAGTGGTTGAACCTCCCGCTCTTTAAACTACATCGGCTAGCTACGCGAACCCTTTGTTGTGTGGAAATCTGATGATGGATGATTGTTCTTTACTTCGTAACCAGGAGCAGAATAAGATCGATTGATTTAAACGGTTGAGTTTCGACACTTCTGGCTTTGCTGGGTTGGTCAACGGTTGTGAGGGCTCGATATGGATAATAATAAAAATAATAATGATAATCAACGGTCGTGTTTACGCCATGTATAAGCGCTCTGGAAGTCTTAATTAATGAATTCAAGCGGTGATTGACCGCAATCCAATCGAAATGATCCGGTGAAGTCGACTGAAATTACAACCTTCAGGAATAGATGATTGGCTGCCTATCCCCGCCAAATACGTAGGTCCGTGCATTTGCCAATACCTCCGCACCCCCCGGGACTTGGACGAAATATTATTTCAACTTGCTTGTGAGGACCGCCTCCGGCCCATTCCGAGTCCGGGCTAGATCGGGGATCTGAAATTTCGTCAAGAGTTTATGTACTGGACGGTAGAGTAGTAGGTCTTGCGCATTCTATATGTGCTCATACAGCAATTAGTCGTAATTGAAAAATCCGGGACGATTGAACAGAAGGCACGCACCTAAATATTAGCAACCTGCATCCTCGAATTATGCTCGATATACCTAAGGTAGTTCTCAAACTAGAGTTCCAGAACCGCATTAGTTCTGGAATTGTAGTTCTAAAACTGCGGTAGTGCTCGAACTCGAGTTACAGAATTACTGTAGTTTTCGTGCTACATTGGTTCCAGAATCAATGGTGGGCCAAATACGCATTTCAAGTTTGGCCTACTTCTGGACTACTGTGCCATTCTCGCAAGTCGCTGAAGGAGAATTCCTATTGGCTCACTGCTGCTCCTTGCCCCACTTTGAAGTGCCATCAATCAGCCTCTAGGAATCGAGTCTGGAGTTCTAGGAGCAAAATGATTCCTGGAGCCCACTGGTACGTTCCTGGAACCTACTGGTACGTTCCTGGAGCCTAATGGTAGGTTGATTGATTGATTGATTGATTCATAGACTGTCCCAGCCGCCCTAAGGCAGCTATGCAGCGTCCATCTATAAGTACAGGTGTCCCCGCCCTTGCTTTCAGACAACAAGCCGTCCCTCCCAGAACTGCTTCCTTCATCCGCTACGGCTGGTCGCCCACCACTCATAATCTAATGGTTGTTCTGTGTCTGTGTACTTGTCAGGCCTTTCCTGGCCCGCCTCTTCTTCTATATACCAAAAATCACTCGTCTTCGCTATGTGTATTTTAGTACCGTGGATGGCACTGCTCGGAATTGTCCCAGCAGTCCAGTCCTCAAGATCATCTTTGCTGCTTGTACTGCCATTGACGGGCTACATAGAATGCGTTTGATGTCATTCGTCCGCCCAGTTCCGGCACTCAAGCAGGACGTGCCGTACGGTTTGCGGCCCGTGGCCGCATTCGCATTGGTCGGAGTCGGCCTTGTTGATGGCGTGGAGGTATGCACGTAGGCCAATCTTGCCCGTGCGCATCTGTGTGATGGCGGAGCTGATCGCTCTGTGTGTGCCAATGTGCGTGTCGAGTATCGCCTTCCCGGGCCTCACCCCGAGCCTAAAGAGCTCTCTCCCGTGCTTGGCATTCTCCCAGGCCGTATCCAACTCGTCTCTCATCACCCGACGGATGATGGACTTGGTGGTTGCCGTGAGTGTCCGCAGAGAGTCCGCTTCCATCGGTCGCTCAGTGCTCGCTCCCGTGCTTGGACTGGTTCCGGTGGCCGCTTTCGCCGCTTGGTCGGCTGCCTCGTTACCTGGCACGCCGACATGTGCTGGAATCCTTCGGAACTGTATTTGCCATCCTTGTTCTCGAAGCTGTTCGAGTACTTGAATAGCCTCGGCCAAAATGTATTGTCCCGATGGGTGCTTGGGGTTCCGAATGGCTTGGATAGCGGCTTGGTTGTCCGTGAATATGGCGACGCATTTATCTGGCAGGGTATACGTTGGCGGTGTGTCGAGTACTATCTGTAGAGCCAAAACGAGCCCTCTGAGCTCTGCCGCGTACACAGTGGAAATCCTGGATGTACCCATGTATTGAGTTCGCTTCGTCCAGGGCCTGTTGGCGTGTGCACGCGTTACAGCCGCCGCGCCGACGTGGCCGTCAATGCTACTTCCGTCTGTGTAGATACATAGTGTTTCCAGCTCGATGGCATCATGCTCCTTGATTGCCTTCTCTACAGACTCACTGATGCGGACGAATGGTGGGACCTACCATGGCGGCACCACATGCGGTACACGTTTTTCCAGCCGGTCAAGCCGCACCTTGAATTTATGTTCCAGCATGCTAGAGAAGCGGTTGAGGGGGCTCTGATGGCTACTCCGGTCGACCGTTGTTGAGGCCATGTCGACGTATAGCGGGGTGCTCCTCATACGCATTGTGGCTTCCAATGCGGTTTGCTCAAGTTGTTGTTGCACCGGGAGAAGATGAGATTCGATGTCCAATGCTGCACCAGCCGTTGTCCGAAAGGCTCCGGTGATGATCTGAGCTGCACGCCTCTGGATCCTCTGGATAGTGCTTGTCATAGCCCCTCCTCTGCTTGTGTAGCTGCTTCCTGGGATGTGCCATGCCGACCAGCCATAAAGCATCTGGGGCACAACCATTGCACGGTACACATGTCGCAGGTTGACGGTCCCGGTGCCCCATGTTGAAGAGGCGAGTGCTGATAGGGCGGCGAGCCGCTTTGTTGCTCCCGCTTCTACCTTCTCGCGGTGGTGGTCCTAGCGAAGCTTGCTGTCCATTTGAATGCCCAAGTAACGGCATCACCGCCTGGGCGACTCATTCCGTTTGTCAACGCGTCCAGACTCAGCATTGACAGTCTGCTCATTGACGCGTCGACACTGTCACCATCCACGAATTTTCTTCAAGCTGGTCACTGGTTTTCGAGCAGGCTCAAGTGTTTACCAATGCTGATTCAACTGTAAACAAGCGCTTAGTCAACTGTTGATGAAAACAGACTCAACTGTTTACGCACGCTCAGTCAACTGTTTATGAATACAGACGCAAATGTTTATCAAAGCAGGCTCCAATGCTCACCAAAAGTGGGTCAACTGTTGACGAATGGTCATTCAACTGTTTATCAGAGCAGGCTTGACTGTTCACAAAGCAGGTCAACTTTTTACGGACGCTCAGTCAACTGTTTACGAATGCTCATTCAACTGTTTACCAAAGCAGGTCAACTGTTTATCAAAGCAGGCTCCAATGCTCACCAACACTGGGTTAACTGTATTCGAATGGTCATTTAACTGTTTATGAAAACAGATTCAACTGTTTACCAAAGCCGGTCATGTGGTTACGAACGCTCAGTCAACTGTTTACCAACGCTCATTCAACTGTTTACTAGCACAGGCTCAACTGTTTACGAATGGTCATTCAACTGATTATAGACGCTCAGTCAACTGTTGATGAAAATAGGCTCAACTGTTTACGTACGCTCAGTCAACTGTTTATGAATACAGACTCAAATGTTCATCAAAGCAGGCTCCAATGCTCACCAACACTGGGTCCACAGTTTAAGCACGCCCATTCAACGGTTCACGAATGCTCAGTCAACTATCACCATAACAGGCTCGACTGTTTACGAAAACAAGCTAAAATGTTTACCAAAGCTGGGCAACTGTTCACCGAAGCAGGCCGGTTGCCACGTTGGACTATTGATCACCGCATCTACCCCGTCACCACCAACGCCAACCCCAACAGTCATCTCAGTTTTCCTGACCTGTGCGATAGACGTGGATAATGCTTCCTTGCCCAAGTCTGATGGTCTTTGACCGAGCTGACCAGCTTGTACGTGTGTATATACATCTTGGGAAATCAGGTTCTGGACATAATACTACTATGCACGGCGGAATCAGTAACAGCAATATGCTGGGTTTATTCATTCTCTATTCAATGCATCTTGAAGTTGAAACAGGCATCGGAATGGGCTCTCATGGCCATGCCAGACTCTTCGCCCGTGGCCCGAGCCTACAAAGGTGAAACATCGATGTTGGCGCAGGTCTTGGCTTCTTCAATTGCAGAGCGAGCATAAAATACTGGTCCCTAGCACCACGTAGAGGTGCCTGCACTTGGCTAGAGTTCCTTGGTTTCGCAGCGTCCCCCTGCGGAGCACGATTTGATGACGCAGAGTCAGTACTGCGGAGCACCTTGGTACCGCAGCGGTCCCCTGCGGAGAACTTGGTGATGCAGCGGTCTCCTGCAGAGAACTTGGTAACGCAGCGGTCTCCTGCAGAGAACTTGGTAACGCAGCGGTCTCCTGCAGAGAACTTGGTAACGCAGCGGTCTCCTGCGAGGAACAGTTGGTGTCGCAGAGCCCGTCCTGCGGGGAACAGTTGATATCGCAGAGCCCGTCCTGCGGGGAACAGTTGGTATCGCAGAGCCTATCCTGCGAGGAACAGTTGGTATCGCAGAGCTTATCCTGCGAGGAACAGTTGGTGTCGCAGAGCCTATCCTGCGAAGCATTTTTGATGACGCAGAGCTTGCACTGCGGACCCGTGGCCATGGAGACCCTCAAGCCTGCAGACAAGAGATGGAAAACATGACACACGGGAGTGTGAGGAGGGAAGTCCTGATTCTTTCTGGGCTGGAAATCTGGCGCCTTTTATGTCAAGTCGGCTACGTCTCTTCACAGAAACCCCCTGCGCAAATCCATAGAAACGGCCACTGATTTGGGAGGGCATTGGAAAAGTTACTTGGAAATCTTTGGCCAGAAGACGTACCTTCAATGGATCCGTGGCTGGTCTCATGTTGCCAGGGGGACCAGCCCTTGGTTCCATCAAATCAATCATCTAGACTGACCATTTCCTGCGGTGGGTTACATCGGCGACTGAGTACCAGAATTGATGAAATGGATTCCATGGATCCGATCGCTGTGGCAATCAAATTGCGTTGCATTGCAAGTTGCGACAGAGGTAATACAATACAGCATTCAGAGAGGGCTAGACGCAATGGCCATGCAAGTGCGATCATAGGTACTATTGTCATTATTGTCGCGCATAGATCAAGAACTTCTGCAGCGTACGTTGTCCTTGTTTTTGCCAGACTCTGAGAAACCAAACAGTGGTGTTCAGCAAGATGCACGAAGGACTTGACCTCGAGACCAACCCACGTGCTATTTAAGGTTTAAGGTGCCGGCCGATCATTTCGATCTCGCCGTCCCACTTTCCACCTGTCATCTTATGCACCCTATTCCTGACGATGCTTTGGCCATTGGTAAATTCTTGATGAGAAGGTTCATCAATTGCTACGAATACTACAAAGTATCTTCTTGCTCATCTCTGTAACCGACGCGCGTGGCAGGGCAAAACCTGAGACTTCACGAGTACCTTTGCATGTACCCTGGTAAGTACCCGGGCAAGACTTTGGCTGATCTGCGGGCCCTGCTCCTACCGCTCAAACTTACCGGCCACGGACCCGCTGCGCTCCTGTTTCCAGCAACCTTGATTGGTGAGGCATCTGCAGTCCATCATGACTCACAACCCCACCGCGCCTAACCAACCAAACGCCAGCCTGTCCTCTGGAAAGGCGTCGATCACTTTCTAGAATTTCCATGTGGCGCAAGACCCACTATCGATGTTACATCCTGGACCACGAGTCATGGAACTACATCCTTGACGGGACTTACAAGCTAGCTCTAGATCCTTGTCTCTCTCTAAATTTAATCATAACAGCGAGCTCCTGTACATATGCTGCCCATAAAATGTATGCGCTTAGATTAAACACCTGATAGTTGGGAATAAGTTACATATCAAGAACAATCTTTCGGTGGCTCATGTGTCATGGCCTGCCTGGCCTGAACCCTTAACTCATCATTGCCCTTCGCACATGCTCGGAGCAGGGATGTGACATGCATCGTGGCACGCACGTTAGAGGGAACCGAGTTTTGACGGTCGCAAATTGCTTTCTCACTCGAGCCAACGGAGTGATTCCTTCTATACCTGACAACGTTTATTCAAACAAAGCCGAGGTCCTCGATCAGCTCGGTATCGAAAGTCTTCACAGCATGTGAAAAATAGATTGACCCTCGATCTTGATCGACCCTAACTTTGGACCTCGAGAGCAGACACTCGTGGATCTTGACGTTGTTAGGCTGATCGCATGCATGAAGCTTCGCACCCAACATGAGGGGCGTCTCCCCCCGATGATCGGGACAATCGACATCAATCAGCTCCTCTCTGGCAAGGCTTGCGACAACATGAAGGTCTCCGTAGATGACAGCCAGGTGCAGGATGGTTTGGCCGCGGTGATTCTTCTCATTGATCTTGGCCCGAGGATCCCGCAAGAGCATTTCCAAAATCTCATACTGTTGATATTCTAAAGCCACTAGGAGTGGCTGCTGGAATTTCTGATCTTGACTGTAGAACTCAATGTCTTTGCGGCTGAGCAGCTGCCGTACGATTGAAACACTGCCCTGTGTGATGGCCATCGACAGCGCAGTCTGACCGTAAGCATTGCATTGAGAAGCACGGAGATTATCATATTTCAACAGAAGATCCACCGCCGCGTGATCACACGCTTGAACGGCAAGCATCAAGGGCGTGTGTCTTCCATGTATCTTGTTGATATTCGTCGTGCACGTGCAGAGGTACTTCTGGAGCGCATCAGACTTGGAGAATTGTTGCCCAAGTGGAGGGCTAGGGTAGAACAGAGCGGGTGACATGGTGGTGGTGAAGATGGATGTAGTGGACGAGTTATGAGGGATCAGGTATTGTTAGATTGACAAAGGTGGTATAAAGGCCTCGATGCTGGTTTATATATGCTTGCAAGGCCATCCACCAGATCATTAGAGAACAGTCCATAGATTCATATCCAGTTGACTGCATTCTCGAACAAATATTGCCGCGTCGGGAAGTGCAGAATGAACGTTACTTTGCTGCATTCGTTTGATAAAGTATACGTGGAATTCCAATGGTACCCTGCAAAATTGACCATGACGATAATGTTTGGTGGCTAAGAGCATAGTATATGTTGGTGCTAGAAGGTGATATTTTGAAAAAAAAAGCATCAATCTGGTCCTAGGATCTGGCCCTGTGCTCCGGGTACCAAGTATGATATCATCTGGGATCTGAGGCTATAGCCCCGGAAGCCAGGCACTGCCTTCCACGGGTCATTTATTCATTTGACTATCGCTAATATACTGATGGAGCTCTAGATATAGTGCCTGATTGCCTGGGTTGAAGAATTCTTTCGTCATATAACGAAATGTGCTTCGTGTATGTGGCCATTTCACACAACGCCAACTTGACCAAATGCTCAGTCTACATGCTCCTCATTGGAACCAGGCGGATATACGCAATACATTAACACAAGTCATAGGCTCAGATACGATGGCGGATGCTCATAAATGTGATTCCTGCGGCCGAGTGGTATGTGCGTTGATGAATGCACAAGCTGGTCCTGGACTCATGAAGCCAAGTTCCATGTCCCTCACGGTCATTTGTAGGATGATCTTGATTAGTCCTGGGAGGTGCAACGCTCCCAGAACGCCCACTCAAGATCCCAGAGCTAGGGTCGGGCTTTTGGGAATCTAGGTGAGGTGCCCTTAGCGCGGAACTGTGGTCTCACATGCGGGCTTTGGCCCAAGCGTGTTTCCCGACGACAGGTCCTGGGATCTCAACCGAAGGTCCTATTCATGACTGAACCGAGACTGGGAATGTATTCGCAGGCCCTGGGACTGAGCCTAATCCTGGGGCCCTTGAGCCAGATCCTAGAGCCATTGTTCTTGATCCCGGGGCCAAAAGTACACCTCAAGGGATCAAGTAGCTTAGTTGCAGGCGCCGGTGGCTCTCATGGCCCCTTGATGCACTTTAAGCAGCACTTCTCATCTTGTAGATACTCCTCATCGACAATGGCATTTGCTATCATCAGCACCAGGCTCGAGGAATGCAAGTGTCTAAATGTTTGGTCCTCTCATTGTGGTCGCCTCCAAGATCAAGAACTATAAGATGTCTGGCTATGACTCAAAGTCAACTTCAAATTTAAATCATCAACGTTGTTCACAACACTCTATTTCGCCGAATCATCGCCCTCACATCATCTATTCGCCCGACTATCATCATGCCTTCACCTTATCTCTGGGATGCTTTCGCGATTTGTGAAGTGCCGGACAAAGCAAACAGAACATGCTGTGGTCTCACCAAGCGAGGCACACCTTGCAAACTCTCCGTGACAGAGGAAGTCCACCAAATGGGTGTCTAAAAGTTGAATGACCTCTCATGCGATCCCTTTGACCTTGGTCTCCTTTATAATAGGCTACAAGGTATCGTTCCTCATTTCCTGTGCGCACGCTGGCACCGTCGACTTCAGGTCGACAATGTCCGAGAGCGATGGAAAGCAGCCACCATTCGTAACCAAACTCAGGTCAACACACCACAACCTATTCTCAGAGAAGACCGGGAGCCATTGCCAGAGGCTCGCCTTGACATGGAGCGAGACACGAGCCGCAGATGACTTGGTTCGAGATGCGTCCCAATATCCTCGGGAGAGTTCGTCGGTTTGAACGGAGTTCCCTATCCAGAAAGGGAATTTCTCCGATGATCGCGTTCTCTTCGTAGATTCCATAATTCTATGTCTAGGTCTTTGATAATTCTGCGAGATTGGTCCATCGAGGCAACCAAACTGGCTCCTTCGCGCATCCACCGCGCCAAGCGGGATTCCTCGGTCCGTCGCCGTCGATGTTTAACCTCAATCCCCTCACAAAGGCGGCACTTTGTGCTCTTGTCTTCAGTGATGTTGACTAATTTGATGCCGCATGTCTCACCAATACGATGCTCATAAATGCATCGGTGAGCGAAGCTAGTCCAGCTCCAGTCTCCGCATAAGAATCGTGCCTGATTATAGAAACACATGCCAGGCTTATCTGCCTCGAGTACCCGGATAAATATTTGCCAGCATTAGCAATGGACATGTAAATGGTTATTATGCAAGCAGCTCCCAGCTCACGCCTAGCGCATTTCATGAACTAGGATTGAATCAAGAGTCAATGGCGTGCTGCAAGAATTGTTCAGCAAACGATATGAAATACCTGGATTTTCAAGTTTATTTCGCTCATGAAAAAGCGGGTAAATATAGGAATATTGATGGTCAAAAAAGGCGACGCCAGCAATCAATTTTTGACTGGGAATCCTTGCTTTGCTCAATCCACTTAACCTGCCCTCAGGCAGTAGACCTAGAATTATCACTAGTCTTTGTAGCCATTGCAACAAGTCATTCGGGTCTCGGAAAATCACATACAGTCTCAGGGGGTCAAGTTAATTCTAACCAGCTACGCATTAGCCGATAATCAAGACGCAGCCAAATGAATAGATAAACCCATTAAATTTGGTATTTACTTTTCCTGGTATAGCGTGTCGGGGAGGAGCTCCCTCAATTCCGATTGGCTAAATTTCCACAGATAATGGTATCGAGTATGGTCGTGCTGCGGCAGCTCCCGACTATTTTAATCACACTGGCAGCCTTTGAAGATTGGCGAGACCTCTCTTACTTTGGCCCCCACCTTGTTGGCCAGCCCCGCTTTGGAACCATGGATGGTCAGCAATACTACGGAGGTTGGTGGCCATTCCCTTTACAAGACCCTCATGCTTGTGGATACTATTTTCAAAATGTCTCACAACCTTGTTGTCCCAGTCGAAGTCTCTATTTGGGTATTCAGATTAATCGGGATTCCGGATGGAATTTTGCAATTGCGCGGTCTCGCCTTTATCATATCCTCCGCAGTGAGTGTGCGATGGGGTGGGAAAATAGAGCAGAGACCTCATCTCAGGGGTAAACCAAAGAGGCGTCCGTCGTGCGCGAACCAGGCCCGGGGCAATATGGATCAGCGTCAATACCCCGCTATTTCGTCATTTTGCTTGTTTAGATGCCTATGGCAAATCTTCATTCATAAAAGCTTTGATCATCCGATTGAAATTATCCCTCGGATTGCTTGAATTATTTTCTTATGGAGCAAGTCAAGCCCCATTATCGGTTAGGACTAACAAGTCTTATCGTCAAGTCCAGCCGGTGAAGCGAAGCCTCGTCTTAATCGTCGTCATTAAGCCTGAGAATGGTGCACCCTCGCGTGCACGACTGTTCTTACAATTCCGAGGCGGAAAGGCGACATCAAACTTTCCAAGCGGGAAGTATCGCGTCAATCTAACGTATTTCATATGCGAGCGCCGCGGACAAGCCAGCGCCGCACCTCAAAACACATAGTAGATGCGATAAATTACAACTCATTATCTCAACGACAATGGTCTATAGGAACTTTTCCTTGAATTATAGTTCATTTTGTATCATATCTAGTCCTTTTAGAGATATTTGAAATTTTTGATTATCTAGTGACCACGAAATATATATCTCTTAGGTTCAAGAATATAATTCTGGTGTTAGTCGAAATAATGTAATTTAAAGAACGTCAGTAAGACTTCAAGCGTGATTCATAATCAAAGTGAAGCTAAACTTCGTGGTTGCATCGAGAAATCCAATAAGGGCAGGACTTCCAGCTGCCTTGTGGTCCCTCGGTGCGACTTACTTTTTCTCTGTCATCTATATAAAAACACGGTAGGAAGAGGTTAAAAGGTGCTCCAGACGCTTAGGTGTGAATTTGAATGGAGTTAATACCGTCGGAAAACAGCGTCAACAAAGATGAGACGCATTACGTCACAGACAGTCACAATGGCTCCAAGGGGACTCGATGTAGTAAGAACAACTTCATGTGGGATCGGTGTACTGTATGATTAGAGACCAGGATTCTATTTGCTTGAGCATAGTTTTGAGAGTCTCTAACTTCTGCGTACAGTCTGCCACGCGGCCGGGATCAGCTCAGCCGTGCGTTCTCGGGACGTGACCCCTGGAGTGTCCTGCTGAAAGCGTGATAGTCCTGGTATTGGTGCGAAATAGGATGATATAGGTTTGCAACATGAACTTGTCGCGTAATGTTGATCCAAAAGGCGGTGGGCCTTCTCCGCTGAGTGCTTCGGAGGTAAGCCAGGAATCCCAGTCGACGGCATCTTCTTTCTCGAATTCCGGACAATCGGAGTGGCGAACTTCCTCCTTCTTTATTGGAGACTTCGGGGTGATGTTGACTTTCTGTGCAGCACACGGATGTTTGGGAGAAATAGCTGCAGCAGATTTTATCAGTCAGGCTGGCACTTTGCTCCCACTGACAGACTTACCTGGCAGCTCGCTTCGTTCTATTTCTGGTACAACCCGCAAATCTTGATCAGGCACATAGGATTTTGCGGGTCAGAAGGAGAAGAATGTGACTAGGAAATCTGCCTCATGCGCCTATGAAGGATAAATGGTAGAGTTAGAAAAATAGGAGATAAAGCCTCAGTACTCTTCGTGGATAACCGAGCAACAGGACAGGGCAAAGACTTCGCGGTCAACTGGTCATCAACTCCGACGATACGTAACTTAGTCAAGCACGTTTGTGAGCTTCAACGTCAAGTTTGGGCCATCAGGCTTTCAAACCTCGACTGTATGTTCATCAAGTAAAAAATTTCAGCGATATTGAAACTAGATCAGGAAGTGCCTTGAAAATGAGTTTAATTGAGATAAGAAAATAAAGAAACTCCGCAGGTCTTTGCTTCTTCGATTGTCGAAGCGAGAATTGAATACTGGTCCCTAGCGCCACATTCTCCCCGCAGTGATGAATCGGATGCCTCAAAATCCCGGTTTTTGTTCAAGGATAATCTGCTTTGAACTGTCTAGAACCAGTTGGCGATCCAGGAGTGAGGCTTGTAAACCTTTCCATCGCACATTTTCACTAAGAGCTTCAGTCTGGTCTGCAATCCACGCATCAAGGTCGCTTATGAGTTCAACCTTCAGACACTTTATCAATCCTTTCAACATCTCACGAGCTTCATCTTTGTTTGATTTGCTTGCAAGTCCGTTATGGAAACGACGCATAAGTTCGTTTTGTTCGGCAATCAAAGCAAGGTTGTAACAAGGTTGTAAGAGCCTTTGTCCCTAAGATCGGTTGCTAAATCATGATCATCACCTGTCACCCCAGTGTTGCTACCGTAAAGTGACATGAGGTCGGCAGTGATATAAGACGGGCCAAACGCCTCTGATGCCGGCACAGCACGAGCGAATTGCCAATCAATAATACTGGTTATGTTGAAATTTTCATCAACAAGCAAATGATCACCTTTGTCGTCGACATGCTTCAGAAAGAATTGCCTTGGCAGATCTTTCGATACCAGGCTTTGTATATTTTGCCGTACAAGATGGAAAAATAAAAATCCTTCTACCGGGTAATCGGGGTAGAGTTGCCCATCTGCGATAAGATCCAAATGTTGCTCTGAAATACTTATCAGGTATTCCAAAGCCGTGTCCAAAGGACCATAAGTCTCTAAAGCGACAAACCGGTTCCTGGCGACAGGCCCGACAATGACCTCATCGTCCTTAATCACGAGGGAGCCTGCTAGAGGCAAAGGGTGCTTCGAAAATTCGATCAGGACCTCCGCGAGTTGCTTGATAATATGTTTCTTTTGAGAAGCAGAGGCTTTTGGGGCATAGAATGGAACACCAGGGAGAGCCTGCATCAATATGTAACCGACTCCCACGCGGTTCGTGGAGTCAGAGCCGATGTCATACGCAAAAGGCTTAGATGCAGGGACCTTGCTGGATTCAAGGAATTTGAGAGTTGCATATTCACTCATAACGGAATATTCCACCAAGTTGAGGGGAATATCACTGAAACCCGTGCGAGGTGTTCGGAAAATCCACCGTTCACCATTTTCGAAGCACAGCCAGGCGTTGTAATTGGCGCAACCCATCAAAGAGTCGGCTCCAATGTGGTTGCCAAGCTCAAACTTGCATTTGATACCATCGTTGAGTTTTGTCGCAAGTCGGATGAGTTCATGCGTATTGACATGACACAGTAATTCCCAAAATTCGTCATTGAGAGATTTTTCCCATTCAGCATCGGAGAGCTATTCAGTTAGAATCTTGCGGCTTTTTTGATAGACTATGTGCTTACCTCGAACCGACTTTGGCAAGTTTGGTACTTTTTTGATAAGTGAATCGCGCAGAAATGGCGCCTACATTCTGCACAACTTGCTCCTCGCACGCCTGCCCTCGTACAATCAAGCATAGAGCAGGTCGAGAATCTTGCCACTTTTCCGTGAGGGACCTGGATTTTTCTCTTCTTGTATACTTCTTGATTCTGCCTTGACAGTAGAATTTGGAGGCGCTCGTCGTCTCCAACAGTGCCGCCCGGGAGACCGTGAATCACGTTAGATTCAGCGCCCAGTCGCATCTGACCAGTCGGCACATCCACTTCTCGAGACAGCTCGATGGCCAACAACAGCTCACTCGATTACAAGAAACTCTTTCTGGAGGACGGAAAGAGACAGAAGCAGGCTGAAGATAAAGGTAAACAAGAAAGAGAGCGCAGCCGACAGATCACCTTCTCATTGAATTCATATACCATTGCCATAACCTACTTTCCCGGACTTTGAAAGTCGCAACGCGTCTCGTTCGACCACTGGAACAGTAAACCTTCCCAAGGGAAAACATTGCCCGACACGACTGCGTCCATGGTCCAATTGCATCCCTCAACAACAGGCCATCTACAACCGTGTACGCCACTACCTACAATCCAATGAAGGAGCCCCGCAATTATTTACCCCCTTGATTGCACTCGAAGAGCTTGCTCGGCGTTTCCCCCTGCGGCCCATCAGCAGTGAACAGGGTAACAAAAAATTAGGACATTTTAAATAATATTTACTACTACTATTAAAAGAGCACAATATCAAATGTAGAGTAATATTCTGAGCTCTGAATTTTTTTCTTCTCAATAATTTGGTCTTCAATAATTTTGCTTTATCAAAATTTTGAGTTTAAGAAATTTTCAATGTCTTGATCAGAGTAGATCGACATCTGGGCCCATTGCGTGGGTCAAAATTCGGCACAGCCATACGTAAAGTCACACAGAAAACCAGCTTGTTGAAACCCCGGCACCGCCTTCATTCTCTCGAGAAGATGAGACCGTTGGACTAGAAGAAGTACATCAAATCCTCGTGGAGAGCAATGAGTGTGCAATCCCTCGATAACTCCCCCGCAACTTGATCGACAGATATGAAAGGTACGTTGAGCTCATATGCGGGTTGGCCGTTTGGCATAGCATTGGCCTCCTTGCATCGCCGACATTTCGTGTGGAATGACCAATGGGTCTCTCTGTGCCTGCGATGCTTTGGAGATTCGAGGAAGGTAAATTGTGACTTCTGGAGAAACTTGACAAGTACTAAGTTTGAGCAGCTTTGACATCGAAGGAAGAGGCGGAACGGAAGGGATTGCATCCGGTCTCGCATTTGCTCGGGATTGTAGGGAAGTTACTGGAAGGTGGCTGGGTGAGCAAATTACATGGCAAGAGGTAATAGAAATGAGTCGGAAATTGGAGTTCTAATAGTGTGCCCGATAATAACAAATTGTCGCTGGACAATGAATGAATCTAGCCCTCTTCCCGGAGATGCAACATACCTCAGTTATCGCGTTCGGTTAAGAAGGGATTTTTCGTTTTTGGGCCAGAAGACATGAAAGCGAAGCATTCCTCCATTCCTTTGCGGTCTAACCGATGAGTACCAATACAATGCTACAATGAAACTCCCAAGCGTGCCAATTATTTTTGAGCGGAATTTAAAAAAGAAAGAAAGTATCATTGTTCGTATTCTTCGTTGAAGTATTGCCCTTGCCTCCTGATGAAGATACTACTTTTCAGCCTTCTTACCGCTACATTACCACCAGGGGTACATGAAGAATGTATTGGATATTCCACTTCGTCGCCCTTACTTTGTCGATCAGATAGGGGTCGTGATCCGTGCACCACGGATTTTACCTAACGTGATCCACGGTCGCCCGAGCGACCCCATCGAAAATCCACTTCAATAATAATACATACTTTTTAACCATAACAAAAATGCCACCCCAACGCTCTGAGAAAAAAACAAAATTGATAGAGCAAGAAGGTCGCCTTTTATTAGCTATAAAAGCTATAAAAGATGGTAAATATCCCTCTGCTGCAGCTGCTGCACGATCTTTTGAGATACCTGTCTCAACTTTGAAGGCCCGGATCAATGGGCGCGAATCTGCTGCTGAAAAGAGGGCATCTGGTCACATATTCACCCAAATTGAGGAGCAATCGATAGAGAATTGGCTACTTGATATGGACTCAAGAGGTGCAGCTCTTACTTTGCCTATGTTGCGAGATATGGCCAATCTTTTACTTAGTGCAAAGAAAAACACACCATCTACCACTGGTATCAATTGGCCTTCTCAATTCATCAAACGACACCCGAATCTCTCTACTCGACTCTCTCGTAAATACGACTATCAGAGAGCACTCTCAGAAGACCCCCGGATCATTAAGCCATGGTTTGATTTAGTTCAAAAGACCATTGAAAAGTGGGGTATTGTTTCAGACGATATCTTCAACTTTGATGAGAGTGGTTTTGCTATGGGTATCGGCGCAACACAAAATTATCACTTCTGCAGAATACCACGGGAAAAGAGCTCTTTTGCAGGCTGGAAATCGTGAATGGGTAACCACAATTGAGTGTATTCGAGCTTCTGGAAGTGTTATGCCTCCACTCTTCATTTTCAAGGGAAAAATGTTTGCAGAGCATCTACGCCCCTTTCTCCTTTTGAATCAAAAAGGAGCACGTCTCACTATGAGTGAAAATGGCTGGACTACCAATACAATTGGTTTATGGTGGTTGAAACACCTTTTCATTCCAAATATTGGGACAAGAGTGGGAAAATATTGCCTACTGGTCCTCGATGGCCATGGGAGTCATTTGACCCCCGAATTTGACCAACTTTGCGAAGAAAACCAAATTATCGCAATCTGCATGCCTCCTCATGCCTCTCACCTTTTACAACCTTTGGATGTGGGCTGTTTTTCGGTTTTGAAGAGGCTTTATGGAGGAGCGGTTTCAACCTTGATGCGGAATGGAGTGAACTCTATTGATAAGGAGGATTTCCTTGAAATAATCGCAGATGCGAGAATTGGTGCTTTTAAGACCTCTACTATACAAAATAGCTTTTCAGCTACTGGATTAGCACCATTCGATGCTAATAAAGTCTTGGAAAAGCTAAATGTGCGCCTGGATTCTCTTCCTCCTTTCGAGATCATCTCTCAAAGACCACTCTCTTCCGGTAGTGATAGTGATCCAAATACTCTTTGGACTCTCTCAAAATTCACAAAATCACAATCTCGGATCAAAAAAGGTCTAGAATCTTCTTCTTCAATCCTTTCTTCACCAACAAAAAGGGAGATTGAGAAGACCTACAACATGACTATCAAAGTGGTCCACCACCATATTTTTCTCCAGAATCGCTGCGCCCAGCTAGAGGCTACCAATAAGAAACAGACCAAAAAAAGAGAGACAATACCAAAATTTACTACCCAGAAAGGCATCTTTGGGGGTCTAGAGGGTGGTGAAGATGATGTGGTCTACAAGGATGAAGATGTAAGTAAAGATATATATTTACCAGAGGTATCTACAAATGCGGTTGTTGAGCCTACCTTACCTTCTATGCCTATAATTCGGCGGCAAATGACATGTTCTGGGTGCGGGATAAAAGGGCATACATATACTTACTGCCCTACTCGCTTTAGATAACAAAATTTATGTCGTTTTTGTGGTTTTAATAGTCATTGAAAATTGGTGATTTTTGAAAAGTTGGTGGGGTCGCTCGCGCGGCCGTGTCGCTCGGGCGACCGTGGATCACGTTAGGTAAAATCCGTGGTGCACGGATCACGACCCATCAGATAGTAGATACTTACATAATCCAGGTATTTAGCTAACTAATTTATTGGCTTGCTGTTTCTTGTTCGAGGGCGGTTAATAAAAATCACTCAAGCGCCCGTGGTTGATTTAAGTTATCTATTATATCTATTTTCGAATGCCAAAGTCAATGGGTGCCGATTTCTATCTTACACAATAATCATTATTGTATTGACAGCATCATCTAAGGTCTATTACCTAGTGCGTTGGTTCTCACCACAGTCGGCGTGAGAATGGAGTGTTGGCATACTATGTGCTGAAAGCTCGCTGGCCTTGCTCATCGAAAGAAGAAAAACGTCCTGCAAATTGAGAGTAGTGTTTGACATGAGGCCAAGGCTAGGATAAAAATCCATGTATTCATAAATACAGGGTCTCCCATTTGACTTGCGAAAAGAAAAGGGGTTTAATTCGAATTCTACCGCCGAGTAAGTATTGTGCAAACTTAATTCGATGATTTTACATGAGAATATCTAATGACTTGTTCATGGTGAATTAAGACCTTATGTGGCTTTGCCAATCGAGAAAGAGACCTTGGAAATCAGCACTACAGAACTCCCGACAAATACTGATATCGACCTGTTAGTGGGGTCTATCGAAATGGAATATCATAGACCGGCAGAGTCTATGTTGACAATCCAGAGACCCTCGCCCCTCTCTCGGCAAGCGAAACAAGACTTGAAGAAGTACGAAAGTCTTTTCGGCTAGTCCTCGCAAAAACAAGAAACGAGCTTGCTCAGTTTCCGGATTCACTATTCAAATGTAATGGGCATTCACTCTGTTCATAGACTCTTAAAACCACGAATTCAAGTGTACGATAGTATCAGCAACTTTGATATCCATGAGCATATGTTTTGTCCCCAGATCGATAAGCCTCTGGTGATATCTTCAGTCTGTTATTTCAAGTTGCGCAGACTAGCTGCTCAGCTTACAAAAAATCGCCCAAAGCAGCCTACATACCCGCTACCAGGGAGAAATAGCAGGAGGCGTGCTGAAGCAATAACTCGGTCGGCGAACACTCGCCACCTGTCATGGCCAACAGCCAGTAGCCTCTGCATTTCTGAGCAAGATGGACGCAGAACACAGCAAGGCGGCTAAGAAACTCAATGATCACTAAACCGCGTACAGGGAGGATCGAGATTAGTTTCATCACTTGCACACAGAGATTCTTTCTCGAACCCTCTTTCAAAAACGCTATGCCTATTACAGTTACTCTACCCCTGACCCATGTTCTTGGCAGTATTTCAGTACAGTCGTAGACATCATCACAAAAACAGCTCCCGTATTAGGATTGTTCCAGAACTTTGATTATGTAACGTAGGGATTATTTGAAAGAGCGATTCTTGGCACTATATTGAAAAGAGAACTTTACATGGAGTAGATCTTCAGCAGGGGTGATGGTCTACCGTCGAGTGGGGGAAAAGGAGCGGCTCCCTCTGCTCACACTCGCTCACCCCACTGCTCAGTGAGTATTTGAAATGAAATTGGGCAGAAAGTCTGGGGACGCTAGGTAGTAAGAAATTCACGTGACTTGATGACCTCGCAGTTCCTGGGAGTTTGTGAGGCTATCTCAAAGCCGCAGATCCTAAAAAAGGCGGGTACGAAGCTGAAAGACCATGGGTCAATTTCACCACAGTACCAACAGAGTTCGATCTAAAATACTTTATTCGTGTCACTTCAAACAGGGGAAAGGAGATGGGATTAGAATGGTCATGGCGATCTGGGTGTTCGGGCTCGGGTCAATTTAGATCCGAGAAGGCGCTAATCTCACCTCAGCCAGAAACCATTTCTCGGCTTGAAATGATTTTCGGTCAAAGATCGGGGGGTGCGGAGGTAATAGGAAATGCACGGACCTGCACAATAGGTGGAGAAGCGCTCATCGTTTAGCCAACGATTCATTCTTGCAGGGGGTAATTTCAGTCGATTTCACCAGGCCCTTTCTATTGCAATGTTTTTTCTATTTGCGTTGATCCTCGCCAATAGTAAACCGTCTAAGTTAATCACTCATTCTTGTCTACTGTAAGTTTCTCAATACAGAACAACACCTAATATTCGGTAGTACACATAATTCTGTCCCAGTAACTCAAAATTGTCTATTACCCGGTAAATTCTAGATTCCAATAGGCATTTCCACAAGATAGGTCCTGAAGGCTAAGTGCACTTTTAACTAGCTAGTGAGAATCATCGTTCTCTTTACGCCTCAAAGGCCTTTTTCGAACGGTCAATCTTTCAACATAGGTAATTAGGTTTGATGAAGTTCCATTCATGTTGAATTGAAATGTTAAATGCACTATTTACTTGAAAGTTGATTTCATAGACTAATAAACGTGGAAGTCGAGCGACCGATCCTCATTGCTGACGGCGGTTTGCCTAACCCATCAAAGAACGACTGTAATCAAAGACATTACACGGTAGTTGAGCCCCTCATTAAGATACTTGAACGTTTTCAATCGATCATCTAAGTAGATTTCCTCACCGACTTGGTAAAAGACCCTTCACTGTACTGTATGCCCACTTGATGAAGATATGCTTTTTGGTGTCCAATTAAGAAAGACAAGGTCGTTTGGGTGTTTCCTCATATCCAAATTTGGACCGACAATATTAATAATTGGTCGATCATTTCGACAAGTCCATGCTCTATAAAAATTCCCTTTTAGCCCCTCAGCCTATTACATCGACTCAAAGACTATCGCTAGCGATGGCCACATTGAAAACAACGTCCAATAATTCCTCGACCAGAAAGTTAATGCGCCAAAAGCAATGTCGCCGCAGAACAAACATGATGAAAAAGGCATTTGAATACAGCAAGATGTGCAACGCAGATGTATGCATAGGGATTCGCATGCGGGAGACGCGCCAGGTCCACATTCTGTCAGCGGATGCCTCGGGTTTTTGGGCATTTCTTACTTCCCAACTAGTAAGCCCAGTGATGACGTCAATCCAAGAAACTAAAGCTAATTGACTAGAGCTCATACTATCCGTCTCCAACTCTGTTGACCGCTCGTGATTTGAAGAAGGATGAAGAACAGCCAATTCTATGCAATGGAGATTTTAGTCGCTAGCCGCGAAGCTGAGTATATACCACTGAGCTGTACATGCTTCGTGGGACGCTTTTGGAATGTTATTAGATTGAAATGCCAATTTATGAATAATAATCACTGTAAGACCACGAATATTTAGTTGTATCCATTACTCAAGGTCCAAAGGCGCATAAACATTTTTGGTTTACATCCGGCGATTTGCCAAACGAAGACTTTATATACTATATGCATAGACTTAGATCTATTAGTGATTCTCTCCGCAGAAAGAAAAGATCCTAGTATTAGGTGTTAGCCTTAAGCAAATCATTGTCCCAAGACACTCTTTGCCTCAGGACACTCTCTGTCTCAGGACACTCTTTGCTCAAAGACAATCTTCATTCCTATATGGCAAAACGCTATCCTTGGCCCGATGGCTATGCGTTATAGGAGAGCCGGACAGGCGGTGACATGGATTGTTATAGTGATTTTTAAATTCAGTTTTATGTCAACTACGTAGATGATTCTCAAGAATTTGAGTCCTTTCTAAACGACGTACAGTATGCGTGGGGCCAGATATATTGTTACGCCTAGCTGGCGAGATCATTATTTGTTCTCTTTCGAATAATATTCTGGTAAGACAGGCAGAAAGCAGAAAATGCTATTGCTGTCCTACTCCAATGTGGAGCAATGGATAGTACTTGGTTCAATGATATGCAGTGTGTAATCATCATTAGTAAGCAAGGGCAAAGAGTCATAGTTAACTACCCAGCTCCAATTGATTGCTTGGTAACATACTCCTAGACTTACATAAACATATTATGACATCGGAAGTATTAGCATGGCATCTTGTTTGTGTGATTCAAGTGGTATAGTACAGTATTTCTCAGATTCAACAGGACTTGGGGGGATACGAGTTTTCCCCGGGGGGAGAAGCTTATTAATGATTCCCGCATGGGGCGAGACTTCATTGAGGATTACTCTACGTGACTCACAATGACACATTACATCATTCTAGCGGAGCAAATGTGTCTAACAAATTTATAAAACGTTATAAATTTCCTGAAATTCATCAGCTTTCTGTGTACCATTCTCATTGTTCCTGCCTCCCAACTTCTTTAACCGAAAAATCACGATGCTAATTGAAATATTTTCTAGCGGTTTGGCATGGACGCTCATTGCAGTCGTTGCCTGTTTATGTCACATTTTCACAAATCAGGACCATATTTTTCCCGTTGTCAATGCCTACCCAGGCGACTTCTTTCGTCGAAAAGCATACCGTGAATACCTCGAGAACGCTGGTAAGCTAATTGCTGATGGCTTTGCCAAGCATCACGGACCTATAACTCTGCTTGTTCCTGGTGGCACGAAAATTGTGCTGCCCCCTGCTCTTAGCGATTGGGTGAAGACGAATAGAGACCTCGATCACCAGGAGCTGGTCAGGGAAGAGTACTTTGCACGATTCCCGGGATTTGAAGCCCAACGCGCGGCTCATGACCCTGACAGGATGCTCATTGACGTGCTGCGAACAAAATTGTCTCAAAATGAGAAGATATTACCGACCGTCAATCAGCATCTCGGGGCCGCTCTGCGACATTACTGGGGCGATAGCGAGTCCTGGCACGCCATAAACTGGGATAAAGACACCACCGGAATCATTTCGCGAGCAGCAGCCTCAGTGTTTGTCGGCCCTGAAAAAGCCGCCGACTCTGAGTGGCAAATTCTCGTTCAGGCATATGTGCGTGAGTTCTTCAGTGCTGTGGGCGAGCTTCATGCGTGGAGAGCACCATTCCGGCCGATCGTGCAATGGTTCTTGCCGCATACCTCGGCTTGTAGAGCTCTTGTCCGACAAGCTCGCGTAATAATGCACGATGTGGTCAGCAAGAGGGAACAAAAAGCAAGAGCTGCACGAGATCAAGGTCTGGAGGCGCCTCAATACAATGATGCCGTTTCCTGGACTCAGGAAGATCCCCGGAACAGTCTACCGGCAGGCGATATCCAGCTCGCTTTGGCGATGGCGGCACTTTTCACAACCACTGAGGTCCTGAAGCAGGTCCTTATCGACGTTGCTCAACACCCTGGCCTTGTCGAGCCCCTCAGGCAGGAAATCAGGCAGTCATTATCGGGTCACCGACTTGGACTAGCCACGCTAGCAAAGATGGAATTGCTCGACAGCGTGATGAAAGAGTCACAGAGGCAGATTCCTGTTTTAGGTAAGTCGGAAGTACAATAAGGTTTGGAGATAATCTTGACCGTTGTATTATAGTGGGTTTGGAGCGTAAAGTTATTCGCGAGACCACCCTTCCAGACGGCACGAGAATACCCAAGGGATCTCACATCATGGTCGACTCAAGAGAAATGTGGAGCCCAGAAGTTTACAACAACCCTGAAGTGTATGACGGGTACCGATTTTTGAAGCGACGTCAAGCGGGAGATAAGGCGAGCCAGTTTGTGCAATCGAGCAGGGAACACAATGTCTTCGGAGGTGGTAGACATATATGCCCTGGCCGCTTCTTCGCTAGCAATGAGTTGAAGTTATGCTTGGCGCACATTCTGCTCAAGTATGATATTCGGTTGCAGGATGGTTACTGCTCGAGATCTGTGCAGTTTGGGGTTTATGCGAGCGTCGACCCCGTTGCGCAGCTTGAGATTCGACGAAGAGGAGAGAACGAGGACTGTCTGCTGTTGGATGTTTAGCTGACTGGTGTTGTTCGACGCCATTGGGTCGTAATCCGAAAATGAGGCTTGTCAGATAGGTGGTCACTAAAAGCTTCAGCGACTAGCAGTGTCAAGGTTCGTTTCGGTCTTTTCGAGCTTGGGGTAAGGAAACACTTCCAGATTTCCGCAAGTTTCTGCCAATGTTGATGATCGCAAGTTTGCTGCATTCAGCTTCTTCGGCCATCAGAGACGCGAAGGACGGGCTCTCTGCCATATCACGAATGGGACAGAGATCCGATGCGGCGAAAATTTTAGCCATTCGTGCGAGTCGTCTTTAAAACAACAATAAACATGCGAAGAGTGAAGCGTGAGGGGGCACACAAAAGGGAAGGCGGGATGCGGAGACAATGTGTTAACTCTGGCCACTATGCCATGGATGCCCATACAGTTACGAGACCTGAGTCATATAATAAAAATGTATATTACTATGTACAGAGCTTTACAGGAATATCTATATTCCGGGACTACTCCAAATATAGTCTTCTTCAATTAGGGTTCGAGAAGGAATCGAAGAGTGTAGGAGGTGATATTGTACCGATTTCCGGCCCACGAAGTCGGATTTCTCAGCCTGTACGAGGCGTGGGCTACGAACCTGGAGTCTCTGTTACTCCAGAGCCAATGAGAGACGCAATGACGACCAGAGGAAACGAGTCCGCGATGTTGCGGCCTGCCTCCACCGCAATTCTAGCGACCTCGAGGCCCCTTTGGCACACAGGAACGATTTAAAAACCATCCGACGATAACGGTTACAGCCTCTCATGCCGTCACCCCAAGGGGAGTTCACAGAGCCTCTCAGAGGCGCGGATCGAAGTCGAGCAGGACACCTGTGGGGTAGAATTGGATTTGTGGGATTAGGGCTAAGGTGTATCACCATCGGCTGCTGGCTCCCTACCTTGGATCGAAGGATACTTTGGTTAGTGGATGGAAAGATTATACGCTGCAGGCCTGGGTGTATAAAGGGACCATCTGCAAGACATGGTCGGCCTAGAGAACGAGAGGATACTAGGTATCAGGAAGCAAGAAATCACGCCAACTTGTGGACTGAGGTATACTATGGCAACGATGGCTAGGAAGAAGGTTGGCGCGTCGCCATCGGCTGCCGACTAGAGATCCTTACAACACTGTCAGTATAGCCCGAGAGGACGGATGCGCATGTCGGTTCACAAGAAGCAGGAAGGTTGTTATGCCGTGACCCTAAGGGGACTTAGCAGAGCTGCAACTTGGCCTGGAGGGTGGGCTTAAGGAGCAAACGGGTATATGAGTGTGGGGGAAGGTTTTTGGTCCTGCTGGAACCCCAAAGGCTAAGATCTTGAAGGCAAGAATTCAATTCCTTTTATTCATATTCGCAGATATTCATGAATATTCACAAATAATCATATTCCTTTCGGAGCTCTAGTTATTGCTTCAGCACGCCTCCTGCTATTTCTCCCTGGTAGCGGGTATGTAGGCTGCTTTGAGCGATTTATTGTAAGCTGAGCAGGTAGTCTGCGCAACTTGAACACAAAAGACTGAAGATATCACCAGAGGCTTATCGATCTGGGGACAAAACATATGCTCATGGATATCAAAGTTGCTGATACTATCGTACACTTGAATTCGTGGTTTTAAGAGTCTATGAACAGAGTGAATGCCCATTACATTTGAATAGTGAATCCGGAAACTGAGCAAGCTCGTTTCTTGTTTTTGCGAGGACTAGCCGAAAAGACTTTCGTACTTCTTCAAGTCTTGTTTCGCTTGCCGAGAGAGGGGCGAGGGTCTCTGGATTGTCAACATAGACTCTGCCGGTCTATGATATTCCATTTCGATAGACCCCACTAACAGGTCGATATCAGTATTTGTCGGGAGTTCTGTAGTGCTGATTTCCAAGGTCTCTTTCTCGATTGGCAAAGCCACATAAGGTCTTAATTCACTATGAACAAGTCATTAGAGATTCTCATCTAAAATCATCGAATTGAGTTTGCACAATACTTACTCGGCAGCAGAATTCGAATTAAACCCCTTTTCTTTTCGCAAGTCAAATGGGAGACCCTGTATTCATGAATACATGGATTTTTATCCTAGCCTTGGTCTCATGTCAAACACTACTCACAATTTGCAGGACTTTTTTCTTCTTTCGATGAGCAAGGCCAGCGAGCTTTCGGCACATAGTATGCCAACACTCCATTCTCACGCCGACTGTGGTGAGAACCAACGCACTAGGTAATAGACCTTAGATGATGCTGTCAATACAATAATGATTATTGTGTAAGATAGAAATCGGCACCCATTGACTTTGGCATTCGAAAATAGATATAATAGATAACTTAAATCAACCACGGGCGCTTGAGTGATTTTTATTAACCGCCCTCGAACAAGAAACAGCAAGCCAATAAATTAGTTAGCTAAATACCTGGATTATGTAACTATCTACTATCTGATCGACAAAGTAAGGGCGACGAAGTGGAATATCCAATACATTCTTCATGTACCCCTGGTGGTAATGTAGCGGTAAGAAGGCTGAAAAGTAGTATCTTTATCAGGAGGCAAGGGCAGTACTTCATTAACGAAGAATACGAACAATGATACTTTCTTTCTTTTTTAAATTCCGCTCAAAAATAATTGGCACGCTTGGGAGTTTCATTGTAGCATTGTATTGGTACTCATCGGTTAGACCGCAAAGGAATGGAGGAATGCTTCGCTTTCATGTCTTCTGGCCCAAAAACGAAAAATCCCTTCTTAACCGAACGCGATAACTGAGGTATGTTGCATCTCCGGGAAGAGGGCTAGATTCATTCATTGTCCAGCGACAATTTGTTATTATCGGGCACACTATTAGAACTCCAATTTCCGACTCATTTCTATTACCTCTTGCCATGTAATTTGCTCACCCAGCCACCTTCCAGTAACTTCCCTACAATCCCGAGCAAATGCGAGACCGGATGCAATCCCTTCCGTTCCGCCTCTTCCTTCGATGTCAAAGCTGCTCAAACTTAGTACTTGTCAAGTTTCTCCAGAAGTCACAATTTACCTTCCTCGAATCTCCAAAGCATCGCAGGCACAGAGAGACCCATTGGTCATTCCACACGAAATGTCGGCGATGCAAGGAGGCCAATGCTATGCCAAACGGCCAACCCGCATATGAGCTCAACGTACCTTTCATATCTGTCGATCAAGTTGCGGGGGAGTTATCGAGGGATTGCACACTCATTGCTCTCCACGAGGATTTGATGTACTTCTTCTAGTCCAACGGTCTCATCTTCTCGAGAGAATGAAGGCGGTGCCGGGGTTTCAACAAGCTGGTTTTCTGTGTGACTTTACGTATGGCTGTGCCGAATTTTGACCCACGCAATGGGCCCAGATGTCGATCTACTCTGATCAAGACATTGAAAATTTCTTAAACTCAAAATTTTGATAAAGCAAAATTATTGAAGACCAAATTATTGAGAAGAAAAAAATTCAGAGCTCAGAATATTACTCTACATTTGATATTGTGCTCTTTTAATAGTAGTAGTAAATATTATTTAAAATGTCCTAATTTTTTGTTACCCTGTTCACTGCTGATGGGCCGCAGGGGGAAACGCCGAGCAAGCTCTTCGAGTGCAATCAAGGGGGTAAATAATTGCGGGGCTCCTTCATTGGATTGTAGGTAGTGGCGTACACGGTTGTAGATGGCCTGTTGTTGAGGGATGCAATTGGACCATGGACGCAGTCGTGTCGGGCAATGTTTTCCCTTGGGAAGGTTTACTGTTCCAGTGGTCGAACGAGACGCGTTGCGACTTTCAAAGTCCGGGAAAGTAGGTTATGGCAATGGTATATGAATTCAATGAGAAGGTGATCTGTCGGCTGCGCTCTCTTTCTTGTTTACCTTTATCTTCAGCCTGCTTCTGTCTCTTTCCGTCCTCCAGAAAGAGTTTCTTGTAATCGAGTGAGCTGTTGTTGGCCATCGAGCTGTCTCGAGAAGTGGATGTGCCGACTGGTCAGATGCGACTGGGCGCTGAATCTAACGTGATTCACGGTCTCCCGGGCGGCACTGTTGGAGACGACGAGCGCCTCCAAATTCTACTGTCAAGGCAGAATCAAGAAGTATACAAGAAGAGAAAAATCCAGGTCCCTCACGGAAAAGTGGCAAGATTCTCGACCTGCTCTATGCTTGATTGTACGAGGGCAGGCGTGCGAGGAGCAAGTTGTGCAGAATGTAGGCGCCATTTCTGCGCGATTCACTTATCAAAAAAGTACCAAACTTGCCAAAGTCGGTTCGAGGTAAGCACATAGTCTATCAAAAAAGCCGCAAGATTCTAACTGAATAGCTCTCCGATGCTGAATGGGAAAAATCTCTCAATGACGAATTTTGGGAATTACTGTGTCATGTCAATACGCATGAACTCATCCGACTTGCGACAAAACTCAACGATGGTATCAAATGCAAGTTTGAGCTTGGCAACCACATTGGAGCCGACTCTTTGATGGGTTGCGCCAATTACAACGCCTGGCTGTGCTTCGAAAATGGTGAACGGTGGATTTTCCGAACACCTCGCACGGGTTTCAGTGATATTCCCCTCAACTTGGTGGAATATTCCGTTATGAGTGAATATGCAACTCTCAAATTCCTTGAATCCAGCAAGGTCCCTGCATCTAAGCCTTTTGCGTATGACATCGGCTCTGACTCCACGAACCGCGTGGGAGTCGGTTACATATTGATGCAGGCTCTCCCTGGTGTTCCATTCTATGCCCCAAAAGCCTCTGCTTCTCAAAAGAAACATATTATCAAGCAACTCGCGGAGGTCCTGATCGAATTTTCGAAGCACCCTTTGCCTCTAGCAGGCTCCCTCGTGATTAAGGACGATGAGGTCATTGTCGGGCCTGTCGCCAGGAACCGGTTTGTCGCTTTAGAGACTTATGGTCCTTTGGACACGGCTTTGGAATACCTGATAAGTATTTCAGAGCAACATTTGGATCTTATCGCAGATGGGCAACTCTACCCCGATTACCCGGTAGAAGGA